AGGAGCAGGAGGAGGAGGAGGAGGATAATGATGGGGAGCTGAAGGATTTGTTTGACATCGGACGTCACAGAGCACAACAATCAAAATTAAGAGAACATCTCCGTTTAGCACTCTGGCCCCGTGAGAGCCCAGAGCCCGATCTCGACTGTAACCAGGTCGTGCTTGGGATGACGGCCAGAGGCTATGCGATGCCAGGAGTGCATCCTACCCTGAGCCCCCGTTCGTGGGATAAGGCGGCACTCATGGCGGAGATCTCGCACTTGCGTTCCGCTAGTGTAACACTTGCAGCGGAGGCAACACAAAAATGAAAGAGTGATCGCTGGCGTCCAGGAGCAACATAGAATGGTCAAACCCCAAAAGCTGGGAGCGTCGAGCCCTCGGAGCCCGACCCCAAAACCACCGCGGCAAACACCAGTAGACGGGCGGAGGGCGGCCGTGGACCCACGGAAACAACGTTCACACTGCCAGAACCTGCCCTGCCAGCTCCACACGTGCCCGTCATCAGGCTTTACTGGAACAAGCCCCTTGACAAAAACAGCGCTCGACAGGCCGAGCCGCGGCCGGAGTGACAGCAACTTTCCCGCCAGCTTGCAGGCAAGCTTGGGCATGAGCATCTGGCGGGCCAGTTTCTGGCATTCTTGAGGCGAGGGGGAAGGGTGTCTGGATCCGGCACTCTCGGCCAGAGCATCTGCAGCATCGTTACCTAGCTTGCCATATTTCAAACATTCGACTATCAGGGTCCTCTGGGGCTTAAGGGGCCCTGGAAACAACAGGGCAATTTTTCACCAGTTCCGTGTGCCGTTCTTTTGCCGGTTCCGACGCCGTTGTTTTACCGGTTCCGTCGCCGTTTTCTGACCAGTTCCGGCCCCGGCTCCAATCCTGGAGCCGTTTCTTTGCCGTTTCCGGTCGCCGTTTTTTTGCCGTTTCCACTTTCAAAGGACATGTTTTGGGAAACGGTGAAAAAAAACGGCTTTGCCGTTTCCGGGGCCCACAAAGCTCTGGGGCATGCCCTTAGACTTTCGTAGCCGAGACTAAACCCGTAGGCTGCAGGGTCAGAAAACTGCCGATGCACGGTCTTTTGTAGGACAACTTCTCCACTTGAAACAAATTCAACTGACGGGCCACGTTGAGACAATCCGAAATTCCCCTGGAATCAGGAATTGCGAACTGCCCTGCAGCACAGATGGCTAACAATTCGGCAGCCTGGGGCGTTTGTGGGTTCGGGGCCTAGACTGGGGCCGAAACATGGCCGCAAGCATTTCGATCGGAGTCGTAGCATATAAACCCCATCCCCCCCTGGACAGCCCGGAAATCACATGCCTATAGCAGCAACCGTCGACATGGAAATCACCCTGAGCCCTGAACCCGTTGATGCCCACCACCTCGAAGCCGCCCTCGGTCAGCGGCCTGTGGAGCGTGTCGCCTGGATGTTCAAATCTGCCTCGGGTGAACAAGAGGCGTTCGGCTGGGTCCTGGAAGTCGATGTCGGTCAGAGTCGAGTGGTTATCTCCGAGCTTCGCAAGAATATCTTCGCGCTCCTCATCACAAGAAGAACAGACATAGAGTCTATGCACCAGTGTGTCTGGGGCAGCTCTGCACAGCTCACACAATACATTCCGTTTGGTAGCCTCTTTCATCTGTAACTTGTTTAGTCCATATCCCCCCGCAGCGCATGGCTTTGATGCAGCCTTTTTGCAGAGGAGCGAAGCTGGGCGAATTTAGCTGAGCGCTGACCTGGCCATAGCACAATCGCCGCACCACTGGCAACGAGCTCGCCGCGCTGGACCTCTCCAGCGCCCTCCAGACAGCGGCGCGCAGCGCTCGCTTGATGAAAGCTGGGCTGCAGAGAATCATATGGACAACGACTCCGAAATCGTCGATCAGCTCGGCGAAGGAACGCATGCACCAACCGATCCTCTGGAGGGAAAGCTTCATGGCAGACAGTGGCCCCGACGCGCTTCTCCAGGGACCTGCATCATGATTGCCTTCGAAAACCTCCTGCCAACCTTCTCGAGGCTCCTGGGAAGACAGGCAGAAAGGGCACGAACGAGTCCAAGCTGCCCAGACCTCCTTGGAATCGCGAACGATTGGACTGGCAGCGGCATAGCAGACATGGTCTCGATCCAGGATGAGGAGGGGGGTGAGGGATCTCTGACTTGCGCTTAGCTGGCAGGTCGCACCAAGAGATCCCCATGCCACCTCGAGCTCGCGATCCCCCCCCAAAAAAAAAAACGCACAACACTGCCGCGGGCCAGCCCAGGTGACGGCCCAGAGACAAATACCCTCTTCGCGAAGCGGCCCAGGACCATTCTGTTTCCTCTCAGACGGCGGACTTTCCTCTGTAGCGTTCTGAGACGGACCTGGAACTTCTTGGATCTTCCACCTGATCTGAAAGCTCGGCCGCAGGCATGGTCGATGCCAAAGTCCGCAGCATACCTGCGCGCCCCGCCTCCCAGCTCGGCCCGGATACGCGCGGCAAATTGAGGGGGGGGAAAGCAATCGGAGATGCCTTCTCCAAAGAGACCTGCGCGTGCAAGTCATTGAAAATGATTTCGTGAATGATGTACGAGCCCTCGACTGTGCCCCCATATACAAGCGATTCGCTCCCCGTAGCACTGATCCCGTTGTCATCGATGTAGACGCCCAGCCTAACATTGCGGGGAAACGGGGCCCTGTCGACGCGTGCGACGAAAGCCCGAATCGGCGCGGTCGCCATCGAACAACCAGCTATAACCCCATTACCGGCATAGTAAGGCCCAGTCACGAGGCCCCCCATCGGTAGGAATCGGGGGCAGCGGTGAATCGCGAAAGCCAGACGGGCGATGGGGTGGGGAAAACAGATTTCCGAGCACCTCTGCCGAATAACTTCTAGCAGGATGGGCACGTAGAATTTGAATAGGTCCCAAAGAAGCGCAGCAGCAGCATCTCCAAATGATTCAGCAACCCCAGCTCTGAAGGCCAGGCGCCATACCGCATCGGATGCAGCGGCGAAGCTGCTGCCCGCAAGGTAGTTTCTCTCGAAAGCGGCCTCCCACTTGGATGCAATACCCTTGCGGCAACGCCCCCCAGAGGCGATGGCAGGATACAAAGATACCTACCGGGCGGAATCCGCCCGCGGGTTTGGCCGGCAGGGCCGCCGCAATCACTTGAAGCTGCTTCGGCACGAGTCCTGACCTTTCCATTATCGTGAACATCAGACTGAGCACCTCGAGGCACTGGTCGCTCAGCGAACCGTAGTGGCGCATGTGGAACCCATCGACAGAGGTTGCTGTGTGCTCCGCGTAGGTTCTGCTAGTGCACCGCAGCTCCTCGGCCGACAAATTCGGCAGAGGTTCCAGCGGCTGGAAGGCGTCGAGCAGCTGCGGAGCGTCCGAGCATGCCTGCCAGAAACTTGACAACCGAGCGGCCTCGGACTCGAGGAGTGAGGGAGGGTCTGCCAAGACGTTCCCATCCCTCGACAGTGTAGTAGTGGACCTCCATGGTTCCGTTCCCCTTATGGTGCCATGCGCTTTCCGTCCCAATTTGCCGATCATATTGAAGATGAAGCGTCTCGAGTCCTGAGCCGAGCGAATCCTATCAGCCGCAATGACCCCCTGTAGTGCCACGTCCATTCTAGCCAGCAGGGCACCCCTGCATTCCAATCAAAAACAAGCCCAGGCATAATAAACATGTGGGCTTCGGTGAACCATGTCCTGAAACCCCCGAGGTGCTTTTGAACGTATCCTGGAAGGTCACTGAACAGGTTGCCGAGGTCCCTGAGATGCTGCGAGTATGGCCCGGACGCTACTATCATCAGAATTACGCGATACTTACTAAGCGTCCACTTGGCTGCACATGCAGGGCCTGCTTCGCCATCGGGCTCGCTGGGCTTTAAGAGGGTCGCCCAATGCAAAGCTGGAAGCTTACCCCGAGCACCAATACAAGGGAGAGTAGTTTGCCTAGCTTTCATCAGCTCCAGCTCTGCAGTGCTGGCCCACGCCCGATGCAGCGCGGCGAGACCATCGGCGACTGGCACAGCACGGCCAGCTTCAGCGAGTGTCGCCACCCGTCTCGCCTGCTCCGCGATGGCATCCCACTGCGGAGGAGGAGGAGGAGGGCCGAGAGCTTCTCGCACTGGCAGGGGAGGCGGCCCACGAAAACGCAAGCCTCTTCAACGATGCCAGCTTGCCGTGCAATTTCATGCAGACAGGCGCGCGTGGTGAAATACATGGCGCGCGTGCAGCTTGGACATCCTCGACGGCCTTCTCGAGGCCACCCCGTGGCCAGGAAATTCGCCGGCCCAGCGGGCCAGGGCGTGCTAAGATCTCCGGTACCTGGTTAACAGTATTTCTAGTTCGCGCGCGCGGGGCGGCCCCTGGGGGTCCCCGGACGAAAAGTGCCCCGGCAAGGTCCCGGCAAGGTCGGGTCAGAGATGCGGGAGTTCTGTTTCGGAGTCCAAGAGGGCTCCAGATCGGTCCAAGAGGGCCCCGAGAAGCTTTCCAGACGGTCCAAGAGAGGCCCGAGACGGCCAAAGATCGCCCGAAGACGCCCCAGATGGCCCCAAGACAGCCCAAGAGGCCTCCAAGACGCTCCAAGGGCCTTCCAAGAGGCCTCCGAAGAGGGCCCCAAGTTGCCAAAATCGTTGATTTTCATTGGTTTTTTTGTCCATGTTTTTTTTGCGTGCTGGCCTTTTCGCTTCCGGACGCTCCAAGAGGGCCCAAGAAGCCTTCAAGACTGCTCCAAGACGGCCCACGAGGCTCCCAAGACGGCCCCGGAGCGGCCCAAGAGCGCCCCCCAGACGGCCCAAGTGCTGCCCAAGGCGGACCAAGAGGCCCCAAGACGGGCCCAAGAGGGGCTCAAGAAGGGAACCGAGAACTGAAAAATCGAGCCCTCCGCCCCAGAAGGCGCCCAGGACCCCGAAAGAGGCCCCAAGAGACTCTCCAAGACACCCCCAAGACGCCCCAATAAGCTCCCGTGAGGCCCCAAGAGGACCAACAACGTCAGGCCCCAGGCCCCAAGAGGACCAACAAATACCGCCAAGAGCCCGCCGAAAGCCCCCCAAGAGACCGTCACGAGAGCTCAGGAGGCCCCCTGGAGGCCTCCCGAGTTCTCCAAGAGGCCTAAAAAGAGGCGCCAAGAGGCCCCAAACGGCCCCACCGAGGCTCCAAGACGCCACGAACGCGCAAACAAACGCCTGCGATGGCACAATACGGGCCGGCGGAATGAGCGAAGCGATTAAATAATCGCAGAGCTGCGCGCCGACAGTTCCCGAACAGGCGCCAGCAACGCTGCCTGGGGAAATGATTTGGCCCCCGAGTCGATCCATCACACCTGACTTCTTCAAAGTGTCTGGAGACGTTGAAATCCGCTCCCACCACCGTCGGCTGGCAAGCCGACTCGATGAAAGAAGCGGCCCTACCTATGATGTCGACGCTGCTATATGACAAGCTCTGGCTGTGGTGCAGGCACATGCTGCAGCAGCAAATCGTGCGACTGCCTCTCGGGAGGTGCACAAGAACTGCCATAGCCCTCCCTGGGACTACGGTGGGGCCCCGACTATCCTGGAACATGACCCCGATGAAATCACGCACCAAGACCCCAATTCCCCCCGACGAACCGATACTATCCGCGCGGAGGGCGGGGGGGGAGGCAGGCAGGCCATCCTTGACCTTTCGCCCACCTGACACCAGCATTGATGGCGTCCTGGGAGACGAGGTGGTGTTCCTGCACGAGCACTAGGCCGACGTCTGAGGCAACCATGTTTTGAGAGACGACCATGAAGTGGCATTTACTGTTCCGATAGCAAGATCAATGGGTTCCTGTCCAGGGGGCTCAGGGACTACGGGGATATCCGATCTATCAAAATTGCCAGGACTACCTGAGTGTCCCCAACGGCACTCAAGGACCCAGACGTCGTCCACTCAGGACTAGATGGGCTAGCCCTCTCCTGGCCTGGAAGGGTGGTGCAGAACTGAGTAGCTATCGACTGTTGCCCAAACTGCATGCGAATGATCATTCTCTGGGTGGCCCATGCCTGCACCCTTGGCGGCCAGCTCCCGACGCCGAGGCAGAGGATGCCTGTGGGGCGCCTGCAGAAGACTCCATCCCCTGCGATGGCTGCTCTCCCGCTGCTGCCTAAAGGGCGGCCTTGTCCTGCGTGGCGGCGGCCCCGTCGTTGCACTTCCTCTTCTTTCCCTCCGAGCGAGACAGCGTGCTCTTGTGCTCAGGGCGCAGCTCCGCGGTTGTCGCGGATGGCCCCGGACAGCTGCGTGCCGATCTCCTTGAGGCCCGCCGAGAGGGCCTTGGCGCGCTCCCCGACTTCCTCGATCTCCTCCTTGCTGAGGTTGTGATATTCGGAGAGGCCGAAGAGCGAATGGCATGACTTCTCCAACTTGTCCAGAGTACCGTCCATGATGTCGTCGATCGTGATCCCGTTGCACGTGGCGGGCCGAGGTTCATCGGGCGCGCGAACTTGGGCATGCATCTCTGACACCGCCTGCGTGTAGTTGGACTCGGCCGGCTCCGGCTCGCCCAGCACAGATGCGAGGGCGGCCTGCTGGGCAATGAATCTCCTTGTGGGGCTTTGACTCGAACTGCTGCCTCCGCCTGCCCGCCTCGGAGGCCCGCTGCTGCGGCGATGGCCCAGGCGCGCGGCGGGCTGCAAGCTCGTTCCTGTACTCGGCGGCCAGACCCACGTTGCCGGACTTATCCATGAGCTTCGCCGCCTGCTCGAGCTCGTCAAGGCCGAGCTCGGGGGCAACGCCCACGCGGCATGGGGCTCGAAGCACTCTTGGCCCCCCACTTGCTCCATCTGCGCCATGGGCACCAGCGACAGCGGGTGCAGGGAGACCAGGGCGAGGAGGCAGGCGAGGACACTGTTGATCATGAGGCGCGCCGCAGTGCTTGCAGTTCGTCCAGCACGCTTTGTTTCTCTTACATGACACTGCGAACACGTCCACGTGCCTTCAAACTGGGGTGGGACCCACGATCCGTCTGAGCCCACCAGCCACAGGTTCTGATTGTACTTGTAGCCATGGTGACGATAGTTCCGATTCTGCCAACCGTAAACCTGGATGCCGCCGCCAGCCATCGGGACGCTGGGGCTGGAATGGGTTCGGAAGATTGACCCGCCAGTGCGTGCCGCTCTGAAGATCAGCACTGGCAAAGTCCAGCAACTCCAGCAAAGCCTGGGCCAGAAAGGCTAGGGGGGAGAAGGAGAAGGAGGAGGGGGAGGAGGAGGAAGAGGAGGAGGAGCAAGAGCAGGAGGAGGAGGAGGAGGAGGAGGAGGAGGAGGAGGGGAGGAGGGGGGGGGGGGAGGAGAAGCGTGAGGAGCAGGATGATAACGAGGAGGCGGAGGAGGAGGAGGAACAGCAGGAGGGGGAGGATGAGAAGGAGGAGGATGGGGAGGAGGAGAGCAGGAGAAGGAGGATGACGATGAGGAGGAGGAGGAGGAAGAAGAAGAAGAGGAGGAGGAGGAAGAAGAGGAGGAGGAGGAGGAGGAGGAGCAGGAGAGGAAGAGGAAGAGGAGGAGGAGGAGGAGGAGGAGCAGGAGAGGAAGGAGGATGAGGAGGATGAGGACAAGGAGGAGGAGGAGGAGGAGGAGGAGGAGGAGGAGGAGGAGGAGGGGCTGGGAGGATTTCTACTCTGCGTTTGCTGCCAGGCAGAGCTCGGCGTGCTTGTAGCAAGGCGGCGATCCCTCGGTGCATTGCTGGAGCCACACCACCGCACCACCGACGACGTAGCGATCGTCGAACACACACTCTTCGCCTTCTGGGCCCAAGCCAGGTGCGCGGTCGTCCTCGTCGACAGAGAGCTCGGCCAAGCACGCGCATCCGTCGTGGAAGTGGCAGTCAGAGGCCGACCTCCCTGGAGCAGAAAGCATGTGCCATCCTAGCTTCTCGGTTGGGAAGAGGGCGACTAGGCCGCGGGCCAACACGAATCTGATATCTGCTACAAGTGCGCGTCTAGACGTCTCTGCGTCCGCTGCTAGCTGCTGTTCCTGCATCGGCTCGGGCTGCTACTTTCCCGCACGCCGCTGCGCGCGCCGTCTGGGGGTTGTTTCTGCGCCCCCCCACCGCGCCAGGTACTCCTGCACGCCGCTGGTGCTCTGCTTCGTCGCCTAGGTGCGCAGGTGACTGCCCTGGTTCCCCTCGGTGCTCAGCTGGTTGCCGACGGCCCCCTGCACGGGCTTGTCCGCGGAACTGCCCTTGCTACCCTGGGTGATCACCTCCTCCGCGCTGGTGCGCTGCATCCCGCCTTGGTCGTCGAGCTCGCTGCCGACGGCCGCCAGCTCGGTGCTGTTGCGCTCCTCAGCCTTGACTAGGTTCAGGTGCCTGCCATGGTTCTGCTTGGTGCTCTTCTGGTCCCCGTTCGCCTCCTGAGCGTTGCCGTTGCACTGCTCCTGCTCTGCGGTGTTCTGCTGGCCCTCCCCGAAGCCGACCTCGAGCTCCTCCGTCTCCACGTCGCAGCCCGAAGTCAAGAGCGGGACGGCGGGACCTCCGCGAGCGAGGCACACCCCTCCGCCGTGCGCGCTGGGGAGGGGGGCCTCGCCGCCGCACCGCGGCGCTCCTGCAGCTCCGCCATGGCCTGCTCGAGCTCCGAGATTTTCTGGCTCTGCTCGTGCGACCTGTGGGTGAGCTGCACTGCCTCGTCCTCTGTCTCCTGGACTTTCAGCTCCAGTGCGCGCTGCTCCTCAGACGCGTCCGCCAGGAGCTGCTGGAAGCGCTGGTCTGCCGCCTGCAGCTCAAGGACCTTCTCGGCTAGGAGCGCCGTCGTGGTTGATTTCTCTTTGACCTTCCTCTGGCTCGCTTCGTCCTGCTCCGACCCGATAGTGCCAGAGTGGGCGTCAAGGGCCTCCATCACCTCCTCTAACAGGTCCCTGTCGGGGTGGGCTGCCCAACGCCTGCCGCCTCGCATCGCCACCCACCGCCGCGCCAGCTCTGGCTGAGCCTTGGCCAGGGCTCGGCGCACCTCCTCAGATGTAGCCTTGCGCCCTACGCCCAGCTTCAGCCCAGCGCCCCCGAGGCCCTGCTCGAACCCGTCGAGGACGCTGGCATTGGGGCCGTCAGAGGCCAGCAGCTGGATCAGCCGCGCTGCCTCTTCCGCCGTCCTGCACTGCGCCACGCAGTGGCCGTGCCGCACCGCGGTGCCACGAGCGCCGGAGCGGCCCATGGCGGAATCCCGAGGGCGCGGGCGCCTCGGAGTGCCGTGCAGGGTGAGAGCACGGGGGGCCCTGACCCCGCCCACCCGGGCCCAAATGGCTACGGAGAGGAGGAGGAGGAGGAGGAGGAGGAGGAGGAGGAGGAGGAGGAGGAGAAACCATAATCACTTCCTGTGGGCCACGGGTGAGAGCAAACCCTGCCTCTTCCTGAGTCCAGCGCCTATCAGTGGCGCGGTGGGAGTGCTGAGCCGGGAGGCCGTGCCGAGGCACGCGCCATCGGCTCGCGCAGTCGGGGCGTGCGGCCCCGCTTCTGCAGCCTCTGGGGCCCGCCGCGAGCGCAGTCAATGCACGAGCCCTCCTCCTCCTCCTCCTCCTCCTCCTCCTCCTCCTCCTCCTCGCCACTGTCCCTCGCATATTCGACACGCTCCTCCTCCTCCTCCTCCTCCTCCTCCTCCTCCTCCTCCTCCTCCACCTTCTCCTCCTCCGTCTCCTGCCTATCCCTCTCCGTCTTCTTTGCTTTCCCTTCCCCCTCCTCCTCGTCACGGTTCCTCCACGGATCGTGCTCAAGCATGGGCCTCATTCGCATCCACCTGCCCCTCCGCAACTCGTGATTCCTCAATCCTGATCCCATCATACTTCTCTCTCCTCCTGCTGGCCTACGATCTGCATCCACCTACTTCTCCTCCTCCTATTCCTCCTGACCCGTTGCCTTTGCCTCCCTCCGTGTCCTCCCTGTTCCCTTCTCCCTTCCCCTCGTACTCCTCTTCATCCTCCGCGACCCTCCCGAAATCCTCTGTCGCTCCCTCCCCTCCTCATCTTATTCCTTCTCCTCCGTCTCCTCCTCCTAGTTGGCGCGAGGGGCTCAGGATTATCTTCCGACCGAATCAACTCGCACGGATGACTGCCGACTGTACCAGGGCCAACACCAACTTCCCGCGGCAAGGGGGGAGACGACCGAACCGAACGTCCTTGTCTTTCCAGGGGAGAGGAAAAAGAGCAGCACATTTCGATACTGAACCTCCTTTCGGTTTCTTGCACGGGTCGTTTGATATCGCTGCGATGTGCTACTTTCGGCCAACTGGGGAAAGGTGTCAGAACAACCTGCTTTAATGAAGTGGTTGGGGCAGAAATAGAGATTAAGACAAAGTGACCAGCAATTATTCCAACCACCTTTGACGGAGTGGCCGAATAGAGCGAAGAAGCACAGAAGACAGCACAATGTGCCTTCCTTTTCTTGCGTATGTTTGATTGCTAATGTTTGAGTGCTTCAGAAATGGTCCCTGGGTAAAACGAAACCAGGACGAACACAAATTCGGGTGAGGATGAATCGAGAATCTCTGAGATCCGGCGACTGCGGAGGACGCATCGAGCACCATGGCCGTCTCGATGTTTAAACCGAAATGTCGCTTTGAACGAAAAACGAAACGAAGCCCAACGTTTAAAACGAACGCTTCGAACAACATCGGTGCCAAACAAGACAAACACAAACGAAACAAGGAGTTGACATCAAAAACGAAAAACGAAACAACACAAAATACGACAAGCGAAGCGAAAAACACAACAAGGCCCGAACCAGGCCAAACAACGCTGTGGTCGGTCTTGGGACTTATCCTCGTCCTAGCCCTGCCCTCCCTGGGCCCCTCTCCACCCGCCCGCAGCGCCTCGGCTGCGCGACATCCGCCGCCGCCGCCGCCCCCACCCCCAGACATCCGGCGCTCCAATTTTTTGTCAAGGGGCCGGTTTCTCGTCCCGAGTCGTGCTTTGACGGCCCCGCGGGCCTCTTGATCCGCCGTCGCCGCCACCATGAAGGGCAAGGACAGGGGGGACTGGCATAGGGGAGGGGGGGGGAAACATCGGCCCAGAGTCGGCGATAGGTCGCCCACAGATCGGCGGAAAGCCCCCCGGTGGCGACTCCGGATGGGGCTGTCAGACCCCTATCGGCGATCAATGGGCGATTGGGGTCGGTGCGTTCACCCTTGGTCGGGTCGGGCGAAAGGGGGGGATAGCAAAGGGGGGGTTTGAGAATCAGCTCGCGTAGCTGATTTTCCCGGCGCCTCCCAGCGCCGGAAGGCGGCCATGCATCGCGGAATGGGCCCCTCGGCGGGGCCGAAACCAGGTGCATGCAGCAAATGTCGTAACCCCCCCTTTCCCAATCCCCTCCTTTCGCCCGGCCCGACTTGGGCCTGTCCCCCCCCTATCGTCGCCCCTGGTCCACGCTGGCATGCCGCGGGTGCCGTGCGCTGGCCACGTTTGCGACCAGCGTGGGCGGCGCCCACGACGGGGGCTCGCAAGTCAGGGCCCGAGGCAGGTGCGCAATCCAGGAGGGGGGGGCGAGGGAGGCACGGTGAGGGCATTGGACAGGGAACCCTTGGAGAAGGAAGGTCCTAAAACTAAAACTGCGGTTAATAATGATACTGAACAATTTAAGGAGTAAAACATACTTGTTGCTCATTAGTATAATTTTTATTCCAGGGTCTAGAAGCTGGTGGAAAACCAATGGAGGCTCGGCCACGGATAGCACAGCCGCCCTTATCAGACAAGGAACCCTCCAGGGTCTGAAGCCTCTTGGGCACATGCGTTAACCAGCGCCCCCACCGTGCTGCAGTAATCGGGGGCGCGCAAACATGGATTAGCGATCCCTGGATTTGGCGCGCGGTCGCCAAATCCATGGATCGGGGGAGGTGCCCTCCCCAAAATGCGGCCGGTGCCGCCTCGCTCGGCGGCGGGAATCCGCGATTTTCCATGGAAGCGGGACCCGTGGCTCATCCACGCCCCCTTGATCCATGTTTGCGATCGCCTGAAGTAAAGCGATGATGCGTCTCTCCTATGTCTATCCCCCCCTCTCTTCGGGAGCGGCCAAAGGGGGGTGTCTAAGAGGGGGGGGGGGGGGGGCAAATCATGGCCAGCGGCATGTGCGCGGCCCAGCGGAGGGGCCAGGGACGTAATGAAATAAGAAGAGGCGCCATGAAATCTGGGGAAATATCATGGCCCCCGGCATGATGTCCACCTCCCCCTAGTCATCCCCCCCCTCTTTGCCGCCCCCCCCCTCTCTTTGCCCCCGGCGCCGCCGCTTGGGCGAGACGAGCGGGGCGACCTCCGGGGCCCGGTACCAGCGCGTCACGACGTACTCGGTGAGCACGCCGTTGCGGGCCTCCCCGCGTCGCTCCCGCGCTCGGGCTCCGGCGGAGGGGGGGAATGGGGAGGGGAGGGGAGAGGGGGGGGGAGAGGAGGGGAGGGGAGGGGAGAGAGGGATGGGGGAGGGGGGGGGAGAGGGGGGGGGGGAGTGGGGAGGGAGGGGGAGGGGAGCGGGGACGAGTAGGGGAGGAGGGCGCACCGTGCCTCAGAGTAGGGGAGGAGGGGGGAGAGAGGGATGGGGGGGGGGAGCGCGAGGGCGAAGGAGGAGGAGGAAGGCGACGCGCGGAAGGAGAAGGAACAGAAACGGGAGGAGGGCGGAGGGATTCCTGGGATCGCCGCTGGACCCTCCCTGGCGCGCGGAGCGCGCAAGGGGCGGCGCCGGAGGCGCCGCGAGGGGGGCCCGAGGCCGATACAAGGAATCCGCGCGGACCTCCGAGAAAGTTTTAGTTCCTGCACCTGATCCTCCTCCTACGCGCTCTTCGTGCCGCTTGAGAGCACGGTTGAGAGGTATCGCCTGGGAGTGCGGGCGAACGGGGAAGCCACTGAGTCAGCGGCCAAACGAGGACGAGAGCCACAGAGCGCGCGAGCGCGGTCGTCAGCCGAGAGAAGTTGGCAGCGAGTGCATGGCTCCCTTCAACTCCTGCTCCTCCTCCTCCTCCTCCTGCTGCTCATGCTCCTGCTCCTGCTCCTCCTTCTCCTCCTGCTCCTCCTCCTCCCTCCTCCTCCTCCCTCCTCCTCCTCCTCCTCCTCCTCCTCCTCCTCCTCCTCCGCCTCCTCCTCCTCCTCCTCCTCCTCCCCTGGGGACCGCGGCGTGGTTCGTGCGTCGCGCCAGAGCGTGGTGGGCCAGAGCAGGCGGCGCGACACGCTGAGCCAACGTGACTGAGCGCACTTACTCTGGATCTCACAACAAAAAGGGGCGTGGTCTGATGTGGGACGCACGGAGACATACTAATACTAGATGTCCGCCTTGGACGCGCGCGTCCGACCCGAACACATAAGTATATCCATCTTGTAGTATATCGTTTCTCGAGCGGTGTGGCCAGAAAGCGCCCGCCACGACGCATACACTATAAGATTTCTCGGTGCGCGCGTCGCCCCTGGGGGTGCGACGAACACATAGTATAAGTTTATTGGGGGGACGCCGATGATGTGGGAGGGAGGTCTGACTCGAGCTGTCTTGGAGGGCTCTGGGGGGCCTGGGGAAAAGGGCGCCCTTTGATGGCTGTTTTCTTTGGGGGGGGGGCGGGTGGCTAAAATTGCTCGTCTGGAAGGGTTGTCACCTCCACCCTGTCATTGAACATCCGGTGCAATCACCGCCTGGCGGACAGCTGCTCTTCGGCACCTGGACGCCCGGCAGCCACACGGCGCAGGAGGTCATCGGCCCAAATCCGCCTCGCGCCTCGCGCGCCCCTCCTCCTCCTCCTCCTGCTCCTCCTCCTCCTCATCCTCATCCTCATCCTGATCTTCATCCTCATCCTCATCCTCCTCATCCTCCTCCACCTCATCCTCGTCCTCGTCGCCGTCACCGTCGTCGTTGTTGTCGTCGTCGCCTTCGCCGTCGTCGTCGTCTTCGTCGTCACACTCTGGTCATGTGGCACGGATGCATCCCGCATCGAGGGGAAACGAGCGGGTCTCGAGAAGATCCAGGCGTCGGAGGTCTGAGGACGCCCGGGAACCTCCCGACTCTGCACGCGGGGGGGACCGGCTCACGGGGGGGAAGCCCCGTGAGCCACGCGGGAACCTCCCGACTCTGCCGTGCACCGGCATCGGCGAAACATCGCCGACTGATCGGCGATGGGTCCCGATAGCAAGACCGCACGCTCCTCCTGGGCGGGGTCTGGCCATCGCTCGGACGTCCATTCCCTGTGTTTTTCTGGTTTCGTGCGTGTTTTTCATTGCCAAATGATCAAGGATGCTCCTCGATGGTCCTCGCCGAAGGAAAAATGCACACGCCCGAGCGATGCCAAGGGGTGGGGCTGTCAGATCCCTATCGGCGATCCATGGGCGATCGGGGGTCGAGGCGTTCACCTCTGGGCCTATCCCCCCCCCTATCGCTGCCTGATGGAGGAGGAGGAGGAGGAGGAGGAGGAGGAGGAGGAGGAGGTTTGCGACCCGTCGGGGCTGTGCTTCCTGGGGGCGCGATGAGCGGGTGGACGAAGAAGCGTGCACCTCTCGTGCCCCATCTGGGGTCCCAGGAGGCCACTCGGGGGCCACGGAAGCGCAAGAGAGGAACACATGTCTTCACCCCACTGCTTATCGCCCCCCCATGGCGCAGGCAACGCCCGAGGATGCCGCGCGCTGGCCAGACTCGGGGGGGCGCCCAACAAGGGGGGCGTCCAAGACGGGGGGGGATCACACATCATGGCCCGAGGCGTGTGCGCGGCCCAGGGGCAGACGGGGGACGTACTGAAACAAGGCCAGGCGCCATGACATCAGAGGAGATATTGAGATATCATGACCCCGCCATGATATGCCCCCCCACAGTCATCCACCCCCGTCTTGGCCTACAAGATGGGGTCGGGGTAGATAGGGTAGGATGATCTCGACGTCCGCACGGAGAAGATCGGGCTCAAATATCGAGCCGCATCGCCGATGCATCGGCGATGCGGCGCGCTCCTCCGACCCCATCTACCACGACCCCCTCTGAGAGGCCTGGATTCGGCGGCGAGTCCAGGGGGGAAAAGGGAAGAGGTGGGCCTTCACGGAAGGCTTGGAAGTCCCCCAGCCATCCGAGAAGGCTTGGAAGTTCTTCGGAGGTTTGCAAGTTCTTGGGCTTCCCCGAGGGTGCAGAACACTTCTCAGAAGGCCCGAGGGCTTCTGGGAAATCCCGCCGCCCTCTGGGCAGGCCTTCTCTTCCTCACCTCCCTGCGCGCCCGCCGCCGATGCATGGCCGGCCGCCCGCACAGCCTGGGCCACTCGAAGCCACCCAGAGCGCGCACGGGCCCAGGACCCCCGACGCCTCGCCAGCGCTGTCGAGACCCCCTCCGGGGCCTGCGGCCTGCGCTTCGCCTCCGCAGCTGTCGTCGTCGTCGTCGTCGTCGTCGTCGTCGTCGTCGTCGTCGTCGTCGTTGTTGCCGGCCGCCGTCGCCGTCGTCGTCACACGGTGGTCCCGTGGCACGGAGGCAGCCCTCCCCTCCGGGGGAAGAGCGCGGGGGTCGAAAAGATCCGGGCGGAACGGAGGTGTGAGGACGCCCGAGGGCCTCGGGACTCTCGACGCGGAAGGGCGGGGTCTGGGCTTCGCAGACGAGGGCCTGGTACACGGGGGCGGGCTCCGCAAACAGCGGCATAGCTGAACGGGGGGGGGTTCTGGGCTTCGTAAAACAGAGGCTCAAGCTTTTCCTTATGCCTCCGTCCACGGCGCCCAAGGCCCCCCAAATGGGGGCCTAGCCAACCGTGGACATCGGCGTTCCCCATACCCCTCCTTTGCTGGGCTCCCGTCTCCGGCGCCCAGGGGCGTGGGGGGGGCACTCCGGGGCCACCCTGAGCCATCAGCGCACAAGGGGTGCCCGACGGGCAACCAACGACGACGAACGAACGACTCATGACCACGAACGACCATGGACGACGAACGACGACGAAAACGCAAACCAAGACGACTACAACAACGACGACGACGACGACGACGACGACGGCGACGACGACGACGACGACGACGATGGCGGCGGCGGCGACGACGAAGACGACGGCAGCGGCGGCGACGACGACGACGACGACGACAACGGACGACGTACGTCGACGAGGCGTGGCGTGGGCGTGTGCCCCGGCGCGGGCGGCGCGTCTGCCTGGGAGCTCGGAGGCTCGTCGTCGCCCCCGTCGGCGCCGCAGAGGAGGGGCATGTCCTCGAGGCGGGGCACGGGGGCCAAGAGGAAGGATATACTGGCCACCGCTCGGACGTTCATTCCCTGTGTTTTTGTCGGTTTCGTGCGTGGCTTTTTCGCCAAATGATCAAGGATGCTCCTCGATGGCCTTCGCCGAGAAAAAATGCACACGTCCGAGCGATGCCAGGGGCACGGGGGCCAAGAGGAAGGATACAGGATACCCATCTGCCGGAGGAAGCAGGTAGAGCCACGAAGCAGGAAGGCGTTGGAGGCAGATTGGGTTCCCGCCCGCCCCCTGAAGGGGAGGGCAGAAGCAGACCAATCGATCCTGGAAGTAGGAAGGCGCCTAAAGTAGACCGGGATCTGAGAGCCCAACAAATACCTACTTTTAACCACCGGCGTGTACAATCATCGTGCCGTCATACGTCCGCCTTAACAATTTCTCCAGAGCGCCCCGCCCTCCATGGGGGGAAGTGGCAGTCAGAACCCTTCCGGAAAGACAATCGTCGCGAATCGGAGGCCCCGCCAACCTCTGCCGACGTCGCCATCCCGTCAAGCAGGCACCAGAGCACCCCTCGGCGCGCGCTTGCGCGTAGCATCGCCGCGGAAAACAGACTACGAGCGCCAGGCGTGACGTCCACCCGATCAAGTATACACTGTACCCAATAGCCCTTGTGTGATGGGCGAGGGTCCTGGTCGTGTGATATACAGCGTTCCCTCCCTGGGTTGTGGATTCAGGAAAGGCGCCCGGAAACCAGAACACCTCCAGAGCCCAGTGGTCCTTATCTCCGCGTCGCGCCTCGACTATACATAACGTAAACGAAGCGGTCCGATAACGATAGACATGACGTGATCCTGGAAGGAGGCGCAGGAAGTAGGAGGATACCCACATGCGTGACTAGAAAAATTGCGTGGCTGCGGCAACTGTGTTGGGGGCTGTGGTGCGGAAGGTCGGCTGACTCGTCGTGAGTTCAACCAGAACAACTCGAAATAGGACGAGGGCAGGATGAGGGATAAATTCTGCGATGCGGGGGTTCATCCATATCCGCCGCCCAGGGAGCCGTGTCCCTGAGACCCCAGGGGGCGGCGGATATGGATAGATTGGGGCCACCGGGGGCCCGCGTATGTCCACATCCACCGCCTTCCGAGGTCCCCGCAAATCGATGCACATAGTTTTTCGTAGCGGCACGGCGTAGGCAGTCCTCATGGGCGCGAGAGTGGTCGGGGGCACTCCATAAACACAGCGTCTGGCTGCAAGAGGGGGCGCGCGGGGAGGAGGAGCGGCCGCGGAGGACAGGAGGAAGGGGGAAGGCACTCACAGCTGACAGCGTTCCAGGGTGAGCGCGCCACGCAAAATCGACCCCCCAGGCGGAGGCTCGAGATGATGTTGTTGCTTCCGCAGGGGGGAGGTGAGGGCGGGGCCCAGGGCAGCAATGACGCTTGGCAGCTATGAGTGCCCAGGGCCCCGAGCAACTGCGCAGGGAGGAGGAGTGTAAAGCAGACGTAATGGACAGGAGCCGATGGTGATTGTGATGGCCGAAAGTGCAACGGGCGAGGCAGCCTGGCTTACAGTGTGGGGCGGTCTGCGCCCATGGTGCGTAGGCTGAAGTTGCAACGGGCGAAACACCCTGCCTTGCACTGTAGAGCGGGCTCCGCCCTGGCACCACACCCAAGCGCCCCCACCCCCCATCCCTCGATAATCACATAATCGCCTTCCCCGCAGTGATGGCGAAAACGAAAGTTCTGCTCGGGCTGTGGGAGGGTCGGCTGGCACGTGCAAGAGGAGGCTACTGGCAACGCGTGTGCTCTGGGTCATTGAAAGGCTCATGGTTCGCTAACATCGTGTACATGTACAGGAAAGAAGGAGGACAGGGGCTGGAGGCCACAGCGTCCAGTTCGGGACTACATCAGGCTGTGTGGCCGCGCTGTCGCCGCCTCTGCTTGGGCGCGGCGCTTCCCCCGCGGAGCCGCCCTCGGGGTGCAGGCGCTTCCGCCGGACGCTCAAATCTAATCACGCGAACGATAAGCCTGGATCGCGTACTGTGAGAGGCGAAAAGGAGGTTGAAGGGTCGGCCATTGTACTGCACGGCCGCCAAACGTTGGGCGGATGTTCCTCCGCCTAGGTGCCCAGATAGCCTTTGGTACTGGATGCCTGGATGAGTATGGGGTATCGTGGCAGGCCAGATGGTAGGAATGGTGTGTGATGTGCTCGACCCTATGGGGACCACCACTGTGCGCCTCGAGTGAGGCCCAGGTAGCTGTTACTGTTAATTAAAACAAAGGGATGCGTTAGGACCAATTTCCAAGCGTGCCACGTAAGGTGGGAATGTAAATGCGGAGAACCGTCGTCAGGCCAGGCATCATCAGACTCTCAGATGGAGGTGACTTGGATTGCATCAGTAACTGACGGGGTGATCAGATAGAGAATCATCCCTCTTCTTCCTTCTCCTCCTCCTCCTCCTTGGTCCTCCTCCTTCTCCTCCTTGGGACGATGCGCAACAGCAGACGTTGCCCGGAACCGACAGCGGCCGCTGCCGGGTGAGGACAGCGTGTGCCAAGCGTTCGCTCCAAGCGGACCACGCCCACGGCGACACCGACACTGACAGGAACTGCGGTGTCCCCATCATTTCTGTCCTCATTGCGATCCTCTTGTTCTTCCGCTCCTCCCTCTTCTCCCACGACCTGCGCCGCCGCCACCACCTGCAGCTCCGCCTTGCGCCAGACCGCCCTGGTGACTCCCACTCCATTGCGCCTAGGATCCATTCATCCGACGCTGCGATTAGTTCAATGCGCGGCCCCAGGGGCCCTGACCTACTCTCCAGGGCTGCTCTTTCTTCATGGCGCCCTTCTTGATGGCCCCGGGAGCGGCAGAACGGCACCCAGTTGTTGGAATCGAGGAAAAGCACAGGGAACGACAGAAATTATATCGTCGGAGATCGGGGGACGTGAAGCGGAGCCCCCCAGCAGGCAGGCGCGACCCTCTGGCTGCTCCCTAGGGCCGAGCCGACGCCCAAGCAGAACGGCGGGCGCCTGGCCGACGCCCGAGCCCGACCGCATCATCCGAGCGGGCCTGCGCGCGCGCGGGCAAGCTCCAGTGCGTGCCAACAGCTCGTGCTCGTGCACGGCTGTCGCAAGACAGGGGAGGCTTTACTTCAGACATGAGCAGGGCCCTAAATCGGAGCGGGCCTCAGTCATCAACCACCTCCTGCGGCACCGCTGCGCTGGCACGAGTGCGGGGTACGTATGTCGCAGAAAGCTAGATGTGTCACTCCACTCCATCCCACCCTCGTCGTTCCACTCTGCTCCGGAAGAATGCGCCAGCCTGGCACAACAACTCTACTTCTCGCGACGTCGTAGGTTCCACGTGGGCGTCGCTGGCAACAGTGCCAACGGGCAGGACTTGACCAGGCATAGGGACAAGGATAAGGAGAAGATGGATGTCCCCTCCTCCACTTTCTCCCTTTTCTCGTTCTAGATATCCTCCTCGTCGTCCCCCTCCCCTCCTCGTCGTACGCTTCCCGTCCTGCTCTGCCTGCCAATCCTCCTCCTCCTCCTCCTCCTCCTCCTCCTCCTCCTCCTCCTCCTCGTCCTCGTCCTCGTCCTCGCTCTCCCCCTCCCCCTCCTCCTCCTCCTCCTCCTCCTCCTCCTCTCCTCCTCCTCCTCCTCCTCCTCCTCCTCATTCTCCTCCTCTTCTTCATGGCCCTTTCTCTCCTACTCCTCGCCCCTCCGTCTCCTCCTCCTCGTTCTCCTCTTTCTCCTCCTCTTCATCCTCCTCCTCCTCGTCCTCCTCCTCACCATCCTCCTCCTTCTCCTCCTTCTCCTCCTCCTCCTTCTCCCACTGCTCCTCCCCCGCTCCCTCCCCATTCTCCTCCTGCTTCCCTCCGGAGCGAGCGTCGGTCCTGACAATCGTCAGGCAGCGAGCGACTGGTGGTCGGAGCGTTCAGCGGAGTGCCAAGTGCGCAACGTCGGTGGGCGAGAGCTTGCTCGCCCGCCGCCGAGAGGTGCGGAAGGCAGGCCACGCCTTCCTCACCTTGTGCGCAACACAGAAGAACGACTCCCTCTCTGGATTCAAACGGGGTCGCGGGGACTCTTTGAAGACGCCCGCGGGCACCACAGGCTGGCCTAAAGGCAATCTTCGGAGGTACCAGAGGGCGAGCGGCGCATGGCCCAACATTGGATGGATTGCCCAGAATGAATACGCCTTGTCTAATTATATGTTCTGTATAAGCATCTCTCTCTCTCACTCCCTCTCTCTCTCTCTCTCTCTCTCCCTCTCTCTCTCTCTCTCTCTCTATACATACAGATTACCATGTGTATATGTATATATATATATATATGTATATATATATACATATATATACATATATATATATATATACACATAGCATCTACGATCGGCGCCCCCGAGGCCGTGATCCCTGGTAAAAACCGGAGGCTCCGCGCCCACGACGGTCCCATGCGCTCCCGAGACGCTCCCCAGCGGGAGCGCCCCAACCACTCCCAAGCGGCCCCAGGCGTTTCGCAGGCGCTCCCACGCGCCCCCAGGCGCCCCCAGGCGCCCCCAGACGCTCCCAAGCTGCCTCAAGCGCTCCCAAACGCTCCAGGACCGCCCGAACGCTCGCAGGCAGCGGCAGGCGCTGCTCAGGCGGCCCCAGACGCTCCTCAGGCGCTCCCAGGAGTTCCCAAACTTCCAGGCGCTCCTAAGCGTTCCCAAAAGCTCTTGGGGCGCCCGGGCGTTCCCAAGCAGACCCAGGTGCTTCCCAGAGAGCCCCAGGAGATCCCAGACGCTCCCAGACGCCTCCACACTGTCGCAGGCGCTCGTAGGCGCCCCCAGACGCTCCAGAAGCGCTCCCAAGCGCTTCCACACGCTCGCATGCGCTCCCAGGCGCCCTCACCCGCCCCAGAAGCGTTCCCAAGCGCTCCCGTTTGCGCTCCCGAACCCCGACAAACGCTCCCATGACGCGCCAGGAACGCCCCCAGGCGCCCCCCGCCGCTCCCCAAGCGTCCCAAACGCTCCCCGACGCCACCAGCCGCTTCAGGAAGCTCCACGAGGCTCCTGGAAACCGAAATCCCCAGGATGCCCCAGGAGGCCCTAGGATGTCCTAGAGAAGGCTCCACACAGCCCCATGGGGGAACCCCAGGAGCCCCCAGGAAGTCACAGAACGCTCACATGAAGCCCCAGTCGACGCGGCCAAATTGATCCCGGTCTTGCAACAGATCCCTCCCCCCCCCGCGCGGTGGTCGCGTAGCGACACGCCCGCATACGCGGCGCGTTGTCGGCGCATCCGCCGAAACCTCCGCGCGCACGCGTGCGTGTCCACTCGCGCACCGAGGCGCCATCATTTCCGCGGATCGAGGCCACGGCGCCGAAACACCATTCCGCCGATGCGACGCGCGAGCCTCGCACGGCGCGCTCGAGCGCCGCCAGCGCGCGCGTGAAAGCTGCGTGGCTCCACGCGCCGACCCCCGCGCGTACGCTTGCGCTCCGAGGTCCCGACATCATCGCCGATGAAGCGCGCGAGCCCTCCCCTGCGAGCGCGAGCGCTGCCTGGTCGCGCGCTGAACATGCTTGGCGCCGCGCGCCGATCCCCGCGCGAAGACCGTGTGCTGAGACCGCTGGCGGGGCGACGCGCGAGCACTCGTCCGTGCGCTCGAGCGCTGCTCAGTCTCGCGAAGAGCCTGCCTGGCGCTGCGTGCTCACCCGCCGCGGAGACCTGCGTTCCGAGATTTCGCCGACGCTTCGCGTGAGTCCTTCCCTGCGCGCGCAAGTGCCACAGTTGCGCGCGTGAGATGCCTGGCGCCGCGCGCCGACCCCCGCGCGGACATCGCGTACAACGACCGACGCGGCGCGCGAGTTCTGCGCCCGAGAAACCCGGAAGCGGCCTGAAGGTTTCAAACAGAATCTGTCATTGTTCACGCAAGGTCCCCACCCACCCCCCCCTGCGCGGTGGTCGCATTGCGATGCGCCCGCGTGTGCGGCGTGGTTCGATGTTCGTCGCCCGTCGTCCGCAATGCGTCGTCATTCGTTGTTCGTCGTTTGTCGTTTGTCGTTCGTCGCTCGTTGTCGTCGTCGTCGTCGCGTCGTCGTCGTCGTCATCGTCGACTTCGTTCGTCGTTCGTTGGTCGTCGTCCGTCGCCCATTTGGAATCGTTTGTCGTTGGCCGTCGTCATCACCGCCATCGTCGTACGCCTTTTGTCGCGCAGCGATGCGTCCGCGGGGAAGTGCGACGCATGCGTCGTCCCCCTTTTGATGAGGGCGGCGTGGGGGCGGGGGCAAGGAGGGAACTCACTCTCGGGCGCAGGCTAGGCAGGGTAGGGGGGACTGGGACACTAGCGTCGCGATCGCGTCCAAACGCATCCCACCTCCAACACTCCAATTGGGGCGTTGAGATGCGTGCGCGCTTTCCTTTTCAACATTCTCCCCCTCCCCCTCCCCCTCCCCCTCCCCCTCTACTCCTCTTAGAAATCCCCCCCCCCTACCTCATCCGGGGCCAGTCGGAAGGGCCAGCTGGGCGTTTCGCCTGAGACTTTCTTACGATGTCTGATCTTGAAGCTTACAATTGGCAGGGGGCGGCCGGTGTTGAACATGTGGCTCTCGCCTGAGCGGCGCTCATTCGTCCTACAGCCTTGCACGAGGTTCACGGATTGAGGGCGAGCGGTTTTCAAAATGCGGCTCTCGTCTTAGCGCCGCATGCATCTGCCGACGGATTGTAGGCGGGCCGTTTCTCTCCTATAACGTAGCACTCTCACGTTTTGGGGGCGATTTCTTTTCAAGATGTGGCTCTCGCCTTGGCGCCGCGCGTACTGGTCGGCAAACAGCAGAAGTGTCACGGGTTCCCATGGTCAACGCAATTACCAGGGCGCAGCAGTTACGTTGATCCGCGCGCGGTGTTGACGTCCCAGGAATGGTGTTCTGGCGCGGTGCAGGGCCGTCAGGACTGTCACGGCGCAACAGTTAGGTTTACTCGTGGCGCTTGGGTCCCCAAAACGGTGTTTCGGCAGCGTGGGGATCTTCAGACGGTTGTCTCCCGACGGGGCACTTCCCTCAGTGGAAATGGGGTCCTTGTGGGGGCCTACGAAGAGGGAGCTTAGAGGGAGGATGTATTACAACAACGTTGACGAGCCTTGGGCTTGCACTGGTCCTCCTCCTCCTCCTCCTCCTCCTCCTCGTCCTCCGCCTCCTCCGACGGCGGCGGGCGGCAGGGCGTGTCCCCACGTGCGAGGCCGAAGTCGCAGATCTTGAGCTTGCAGTCGGCGGACAGCAGGATGTTCGCGGGCTTCAGGTCCCTCAGCCCGCCTCCGTCTCCTCCTCCTCCTCTTCCACCACAAGTCTTCCTCCCCTCCCTCCTGGTCCTCCCTCCTCCTCATCTTGCTTCCACCTGGTCCTCCCTCCTCATCCCCCCTCCTTTTCCTCCTCCTCCCCCTCCTCCTCGTCCCCCTCCTACTCCTCCTGCTCCTACGCCGCTTCTCCTCCTCCGCCTCCTCCTCCGCCTTCTCCTCCTCCTCCTCGTCCTCCTCCTCCTCCTCCTCCCCCCTCCTCCTCCTCCCCCTTCTCCTCCTACTATTCCACTGCTTCTGCTCTTTCTTCATTTCTTTCGTTCTCTCTCTCTCTCTCTCTCCCTCTCTCTCTCTCTCTCTCTCTCTCCTCTTCCTCCTCCTTCTCCTCCTCATTCTGCTCCACTGCTCCTTCTCTCTCCTCTCTCTCCTCTTTCTCGCCCCTCTTCCTCCTTCACCCTCCCTCCCACCTCCACCCTCTTCCACATCTCTCCTCCGTCCTCCTCGTCCTTCTTCATCCTTCCTCAAACAACCCCCCCAAATCCCCACGGCCCATCCGATGGGCCACCCCGCAGACGTGCAGCTGCTCCAGGGCCCGGAATATCTGGGCCATGATCGCCTCTCAGGGCAAACGGAGGAGGAGAGAGAAGGAGCAATGGAATTGTAGGATGAGGAGGAGGAGGAGGAGGAGGAGGAGGAGGAGGAGGAGGGGAGGGAGAGAAAATAAGCAATGGAGGTGGAGGAGGAGGAGGAGGAGGAGGAGGAGGAGGAGGCGAAGGAATAGAACGAGGAGGTGAAAAAGTAGGAGGAGGAGGCTGAGGAGGAGAGAAAAAAAGCAGTGGCGGAGGAGGAGGCGGAGGAAGGGAAGGAGGATGTGAACAAGTACGAGGAGGAGGAGGAGGAGAGGCAGTACAGACACTGTGCTGCGGCTGGTGGAATGCCTCATCAGCTCTTGGAAAACTTCGCAGCCAACATCACAAATGCCAGGGACATATATATATATATATATGCCTCATTGATCAGGAAGGGCGACTCGAGGAAGAGAGTAGTGAAGCGGGGAGAGGGCGGGGCCGGGGCCAGCGCCAGTGCTCGTGCCGGCTCAGGCCTTCTTCTGAGCCTTGGAGACGGCGTCGTCGATGGTGTTCTTAATCTTATCGGTGATGCCGTACTTACCGTTCGTCTCGAGGACCTTGTCCACAACATCAGACGCGATGCTGCTGCCACTGGTCACAACGCTGCTCAATGTACTTCCGATGCCGACCTCCTTGTCTACCGTCTTTACCGCAGTGTCGATCCCGTCGATGATCTCCGCCGCCTTGGGCGACGACGCCTTCACCTTGTCGACCTGCTCGCTCACCGCGCTGCTTACCCGATTGGTCACTTCGTACTTCTTGTCAACACCGCTGATGAAGTTCAGGGTCTCTAAGCCCGCCGTGGCCACGCCCTTCAGGGCGGTGGCCCCATCGTTGTCCGGGCCCTGGCGAGCCAGGAACGCGGCCCCAGCGAAGCCCAGCAGGCCGAGGATGGGGCCGCCCACCAGCACGCCGGCTGGCCAAACTAAAGAACATTCGAGGCTACCCTCCCCCAGGATGCACAAGCACATCGAACACGCACGACGAACATGAGGGTACCTGCTCCGAGCTGACCTCGATCTTATACCTCGGTCCGACCGTATGAGGACACGTGCGTTGGACGAGGTAGAGACGGGAGCCTGAATATCAGGAGGTTGAGGGAAAGGGTATGAAGGAAGATACGAGATCGGTCGATCCTTCTGCTTAACCTTTTGCCAGCAGGTCCCACCTATATGATCGGAGGAGCGAGGAGCATGAAGGGAAATCCAATCTTGACGGAAACGGGTCCTTAGGCCGCTGGCTTTTTTCAGGACAGTCTTTTCGCCCCGAGTCTTTCTTTGACGGCGCCAGAACTCTGGGGAGGAGGCCGAAAGCGTTGAACACCTCCTGGGCCTGGTTCTTGCAGACCCCATTCCTTCGTGCTCACAGGAGAAGGGGGAAGAGGAGAACACGGAGAGGGGAGGAGGAGGAGGAGGAGGAGGAGGAGGAGGAGGAGGAGAAAGAGGAGAAGGAACACAAGTGGATGGAAGAAGGGAGGAGGAGAAGGATGAGTGAAGCAGGACGGGAAAAGACGAGGAGGACCAGTGTAAACCCAAGGCGCATCGACGATGATGCAATGAACCCTCTCTCCGAATTCCCTCTTCACAGGTGCCAGCCAGGATGTACAGTCATTCATGGAAGTGTCCCAGTGGAGGACAACCGTCTGATAATTATTTATCGTGCCACGTTCCTGGGACTTCAACGTTGCGAATCAGCGCTACTATTTCCCTGACGATCACGAATCGCGCCAGAACGCCATGTCTGTGGCTTCAACACCACGATTCAACATTACATGGTGCGTCCGGACGACTCTGAATCGAGTCGTCCATTCCTGGAACTTCCGCCCTACGACTGTTGCTGCTGCTGCTGCAAACTTTTAAGACACATGTGCGAGACGCTGAGGCGACAAACGCATGTTGAAAGTGAACCACCCTCCAGTCGTGAAACGCTTGCACACTTATCAAACGAATGTGCGCGGGGCTAGGGCGAGAACCACATGTTGGAAAACCGTGGGCTCTTCACAAGCTAAGAACGCATAACAACAACCAAAACAAAAACACCGCGACTGTGTCTTAGTGTTCTAGCTCCGTGTTTTAGCGTTGCTAGGCCCGTCGGTGTGGATATGTTTTGGGGCGTGTTCTTTGATTTCTCGTCGAGGGCTGCTCCGTGTCTTCCCTGTCTTCACTCGCGCTCGTTTCTGCCGCCGTTCTGACTCACAGAGCTAAGAATGTTTCAAACATGATCTCACACCATCCAACACCTGCCCGATACAGGCCCGAAGGCCCGATGGCCCCAGGATGGGCAATCGGCTATTGGTCCCGCCAGACTGCACGCCAAGAGGAGGACTGCCCGCCAGGAGGTGGACCTGAGGACGTCGTATATGGAAATGTGAACAGTGCAACCAACTGATCTGAGAACGCACAAAAAAAAACGTAGCTGAAAACGCAACAACTGTGTTCTCTCCGCGTCGTTTCGTTTTCCTGTGGAGGCCAACGAACAGAGCAAAACCAATGATTCAAACACGCCGGATCAAAACGGTAAAACACGCCCTGGGCATCTTCCAAGAAGGCCACATTGAAAAGGACCGCTCTCATCCGTCAAACTCTGGCGAACTTCTGATACGAATATGGGCGGCGCCGAAGCGGCGCCGAAGCACGTTGAAAAAGGCACCGCGCTCCATCTGTGAAAATCTGTCAAACTTCTAGGAAGAGTGTGCTCGGCGCTGAAGCGAAAGCCACACATGGGAAGCCACCCGCCCTCCAGTCTGTGAGGCTCTTGCAGACTTGTGTGGCACACGTGAGCGGCGTTAAGCCGAGAACCACATGTTGAAAACGGCACGCCCTCCATCCGTGAAGCCCTTGCAAACTTCTTCTAGGACGAATGTGCGTGCAAACTTCTAGGACGAATGTGCGCAGCACTCAAGCGACACCCGCATATTGAAAACGGCCCGCCCCCCATCCGCATCACAAGCGGTGAAGGAGCCTCAGGCGGAGCGTACAGCCCGCCCTGCCAACACGTCTCGGGGTGCGACAGAGAGGACTTCCTTATACGGGAAGGGGGAGGGGAGCCAAGAATCGAATCGATAAGTCGGACCGGTGATCGAAATGAATCAGATCGGCTGAAATCGGCAGCCTAGTTGGGAGAAGTCGAATCGGCGCAAACTGACAGGCTAGGATGCCAGTGAGGCCTCCACTGCGAAATCGGAGCCCGGATTGAAATCCCAAGACGGATCTTATCGAAATCGGAAGCCATCGAAGTCGAACCCAATCGAATCGGAGGAATCGAAGTGAGCCCTGGAACGGGATGGAGCAGGAACAACGAGGAACACGCGTGGATGAGTGTCATCCAGGCTTCGCCAGAGCACCGCGAGGGGCCCCGGCGCCCACGCGGCCTGGACGTGGCGCTCCGTGAGCGTCTGCTTCGACTGGATCACCTCCACGGGCGGCGGGAGGGCAGGCCGCGTTGCACCTTCGGGGGCCTCGCCTGCTCCCGAGACTGGTGCCTTCTCTCGTGCCCGGCGCGGGCCTGATGCGAACTCGACGCGGCTTCGGCACGGAGCCCGACACGAATCCGACGCGACTTCGACACGGAGTTGACGAGCCCGACATGGATTCGACACAGGTTCGACGCGCATAGGGGTGCGGCGGGACAGGCAAGGCCCCCCAAAGGGTGCAACAAGAAGGGGAGAAAACGTGGGAGCGGAGGGCAGGAGGACAGGGAGGGCAGGGCAGGAGAGGAGGAGGAGGAGGAGGAGGAGGAGGAGGAGGAGGAGGAGGACCAGGAGGAGAGAAGGAGAAGGAGGTGGATCACACGGAGGAGTACGAGGAATTGGTTGACTGGTGTACTTGTTTACGGTGTAAGTGCAACGGAGGTGCGTTAGGACCCTCCTTTACGGACGTCTTCGTTAGCCGAGGGTCCCTCAAGGAGTCCTCTGTCCCCTCCAGTGCCCGTTGACGGCGTGGTTTACTGGTAAAAATCGGTGGGCGTGGGCGGGCCCCGAGCAGCCCCTGTGATGGCAGCTGCGAGGGGCGTGAGGCCTACGACGGTCCTCACTGGTGAGGCCCTTGATGGTCCTCACTGGTGAGGCCTACGATTAGGGAAACGAGCTCTATACATTGACGCTGTTCCCGACCCTGCGCTGAAATTCGCACAAGAACGCGGATTCTGGTTTATACGGGATCCTGGTGTATACGTGTTCCGTTGTTTCCCTTGGAAAACGGGGGAAAGGTATGCACCACACCACCCCGACGTCGTCCCTGACCCATAAAAAGTCGTGGGATTGAAAAACAAGCCGCCACTGGTAGTGTAGATGCTCCAGTTCCCGATATGATGGTCCTCACTGGTGAGGCCCTTGATGGTCCTCACTTGGGTGGGGGGAAACAGCAGGAGGCTGAAGTAGACGTCCGACAGCTGCGTCCTATGAGGGATGCCTGACAAAGACCACGCGAAAGAATACATGACCTCCACCTGTAAAGCCCGGGAAGATCGATTCATACCACAGCCCCCTAACGGTGGCACGGGAAAGGGGGCGGAGGGCAACGGGAAGCAAGAGGGGAGAAAGGAACGGAAGGGGGAACAGGAAACGGGACCCAGGAGAGAGGAGGGAGGCGAAAGGGGAAGAGGCGGGGGGGGAGGAGGGAGGAAAAGGCGGATAGGCAGGGGAGCAGAAGAGGAGACGGGGACGGGGGGCGTTTCCCAAGTTGCGGTTCGTAGTAATATCTAGGGTCCTGCTGTGAGCGACGCTCTCGAACACAGCAAGAGGACGACGCCTCGAGCCCGGGAGCTGCGGACAACGGTCCTGGCAGGGAGACCTGAAGTGGGGAACGACGGTGCTGACAAGAGGACTGGTGAACGAGCCATAGGTGGACAAGCGCGTTCCATTACTAGCGAAGTAACTGCTCGCAAATGGCCTGGCTCCGCCGAGAGGGATCTACGATCCACCGCATCGGAGGCAGGCGTGTGGTTTCCGGAAGTTTGCGAGTAGGCACTTTGCGAGTAGTGGAACGCGCCCGGTGAATAGGTGATCGTGGCATTACTCCCGCGTCGTTCCGCGAGACCCCCACCGCCAACGCGGGCGCCCGCCCCCCCGGCAGAGCACCTCCGGCTTTCATCCGACAGGTCGGGGGCACGGTGTAGAGGGAGGGCGAAGAGGTAGAGGCCTCGCCACATACCTGTGCCCCAGTGGCGGACGGGGGTGGCAGGGGGTATTTCAAACACACCCATCCTTGGAGAGCTCGGTTACGGGGCGGGGAGCGGGAACGAGGGAGAGAGCGGAGGGAGGGGACGGGGAGGGGAGCGGGGGGGAGGACAGGGAGGGAGGGACGAGGAGGAGGAGGAGAAGGGGGAGACGCATGAGGTGACGGCAGAGGAGGACGATGAAGAAAAGACTAGATCGGAGGATGGTCAGGAGGTGGAGTAATGGGATGAGGGAAGGAGGTGGAGATGAGGACGGCGACGAAGAGAAGGAAGACGAGGGGGAGGAGGAGGAGGAGGAGGAGGAGGAGGAGGAGGAGGAGGAGGAGGAGGAGGAGGAGGACAAGGACAAGGACAAGTCGCTCGGGGAGAGATCCGCAGCAGCGGCAGCGGCCTGGACCTACCTATACTCCCTGCGTGATATATGGACGCGGGCCCAACTCTGGGCCTGCCTGCGGGCGCGGACGGGGGGGCCGTTGCCCCTCGGTCCGCGGCCGCATACGGCGAGGGTGACGCACCTCGCACTCCCGCTTGCACTGTCTGAAAGGAGCGGGGGCCGTCGCTGGCCCAGTCCCTGGGCGAGCGGGGCCCCTGAGGGGGGGGAGGGGACGCAGAGGGGGAGGGAAAGAGCAGAACGATCGGGGTTAAAACTGAGGGCGGAAATTCGGGCAGTTATTCTTGAGCCAGGGGGCAGAGGGGAGGCGGGGGGCGGCGGCGGGCGGCCCTCGTACTTCGAGAACGCGCGCGCGGCGCGCGCCGCTCGCCGCTCGCCGCTCCGCTCCTCGTTCCTCGACCCGACCCCCTCAACCACCCCCCCCCTCCTCTAGCCGATCAGCTGCTCTGACAATAAGCCTCACCCTGTTCCCTGGAAGTCGTTGTGTGGTACCACATCCACACTGCACATCCTGTGAAACCTATGTTGGTGCGTCCCTGTCGTCGCACTGCACACAGCCAAGAGTCGTCTACTGTTTGAGGCCCCCCTGTCCCATGCTGTCTGGTAGGAGGTCCTGTTCCTGTTGTCTCTTGGCTCGGTAATATAGGGCATAATCATATAGCCTTTGAATCCTCTGGCTTTTGCTGGACAGTTTTTTTCAGATTGGGTAACTGATAGGGGTCCATGCTAATGTTATTGGCATTGATTTCCTCAGCAGTCACTGGCGGATAGTTTGGGGCGGGCCCCCCTCCTTTCCAAGTCACTGCAGTCCTCGGCACAGGCGGTGGGTCAGGCAACTGTAATCCTGATCTCTGATATGCATCTGCAATAGTAACTGCATTGAATGTATCTTCTATTGTGCCGAAATCCAAAATCATATCGGGGTCAACGGCCGTCGAGCTCGAGCTGCCAAAAGGACCCCTCATCTGCTGGTGCTGGATTCCCTCTTGTGGCGTCCTCAACGCCTCTGGAGCTGGCGCAGGTTGCGCTCGCAAGTCCTCTCCAGCTCCGTCTTCGGGCCGCTGCTGTTGCTCTTCTTGCCGTTGGCCTCCTGCAGTCCGTGCTCGATTGCCGCCTTCAGCAGCACCGGTTGGAACAGGGCCAGCTTCTGGATGGTCGCCTCCTCCGCCTTCGTGTCTTTCAGCACCATCGCCAGGTTGGGCATCGGGTTGACCGAGAACACCAGCTTGCCAAGCTGATCTGCTTCTTCCGTGCCGTCCTTTTTGTACGTGTTCGTCGCCTTGCACAGTAAGATTGTCTCTGCCAGGACCACTGGGCCGTGCTCCTCGCTCACTGCCTGGACGAACTCCGTGATCATCGCCAGCGTCTCCTTGTCCCTCTTGTTGGGGTCCATCTTGTCGTCGAGCACCTTCTGGACCGCCTTCAGCATCGACAGGGCTGCATGAATGTGTGGTGGGCCCAGACCGTGGCCTTTTCCTTGAGCTCGTACTGCCGCCGCGTAATCTTTTCCCGCTCCACTGGTGTCCTTGAACGGTCCGCTTGTGATCGGCAGCAGCCAGAAGCTCGTGTTGATGTGCATCAGTTCCCTGGCCTCCTGCGACGTCCTCAGCGCGAGCTTGTGGAGACTGGCCAGGTAGTCTGCGAACCCTGTTGCGCCACCTCCTGGCGGTCCGCCTCCCCCCCCGCCGTTGCGGTCGCCCTTGTGCTTCTTGCCCTTGTCCTGCTCCTCTGTCGGTTCTGGTCGCTTTACCCCCTTCTGGCCGACGTGCCACATGCTGCTGAGACTGCTTGTCGGTTGTCAAGCGCACTTCCCTGGGGCCGACGTGATGCTTCCTCACGTGGAGCTGGAAAGCCGAAAGGTTTTGAGCCTCAAGGCCACAGATTTTACAGACGAGGTCCCCTGGTTCCTGGACAGGATGATCCCACTTGCTTCGATTCACATGGCAGATCCCAAAAATGTCCGCTGCTCGAGTACAGTGATCTATTGCTGTCCGTCGATTGTTGAACGTACTCAAGCACCAGGGGCACTGGTTTGTTATCACTAGCTGTGCCACGAGCGGACGTACATTGTGTACAGTACGTCTGTGCCCCGCAAGGGCCTGGGCCGTGGTAAACCTACGCCCGCACAATACCTCTGTCCCGTCGGAAGTGCCTATTGTGTGGTCGCACCAGTAATCTTTCTCCACCTCTCCCACCTCCTCTTCCCCGTCGTCCCCATCCACCTGACTCCAGTGATACGCTGCACTTCGCAATATAGTTGGATCCGTCGTTGTGAATCGTTTCCATTCCGCACTTCCTGGTCGGAAGAGGCTGAGGTCGGATTGCCTGTCCTGGAACCATAGGAGGAGGAGGAGGAGGAGGAGGAGGAGGAGGAGGAGCACGGGCAGAAGGACGAGAACGACCAGGAAGAGTAGGAGGGTGGCTAGGAGGGCTGGGTCATTGCCATCGCGCGCGCTGTGCCGAGGAGGAGGGCGGCGGGGGGGTGCTGCAGTGCCCAGAGAGCCCCCTGGGCACCGACTCCGTGGAAGGCTGCAACAAACAGCGCCTGCATCGACTGGGAGCGCACCAATCGGTGGGGAGGCGGCAGCGCCCAGAGAGCCGCGGGGCTCAACGAGAATGCCGCCCCCAACTGCAAAGAGGGCAGGTCTGGTAGCCTCAGGTGCACGATGCTGCCTCACACACTGTGTGTGACACACACACAGCTACCATAGCTAGGAAACCTGGTAGGGCAGCCAAGCAGCTTCGCGCCTCAGTCGGCTGGATCACCCAGGGGAGCCGTGGGGAGATTTTGTCCAGCAGGCAGCGAGGCGATCGACAAGCCTCCCACAGCTCACACATCAGCTGGCGTTGCGAAACAACTCGCACGGCTGCCACAATCGTGAGAGCAGGCGGTTCGCTGAAGCTCCCTCTCTGCATGATAGGGGAGGCTGAAAAGGAGAGCTGGGGAAAGGGCAGCCCAAACGTCCACTCATCTAACGTTGAAACACACAGCAGCCATTTAAGGAAAGGAGCGAGGAGAGGAGTGAGGGAACGAAAGAAAGAAAGAGAGGGAGCAAGGAGAGGAACAACGTGGACGCCACCTCACAGCTCGAGGCTCCAATAGCGAGGCTCCAATTCACCGAGAGGAGTATAATCAGTGCACATATAGGCGAACATAACCAAAGCACATTGCAATGTACGTTAGGCAACTAAAGAACCTCAGCAGAGTGACTGCGTGGCAGCACGGCGCCACGCACGGACATACCTGTGGCGTCCGAGGGGCAGGCCCAACGCAGTGGCTGGGGTCGGCCGCCAGCGGCCGATGGGGGGGCCAGCATTTGCGCGCGATGGGCACCCAGCAATCAATCAGATGAGCGAGTCAACAACAAGCAACATCCCGCGAGGAGCCCGGACGCGAGAGAGAGAGAGAGAGCGAAAGAAAGATTACTACAGAAATGCATATCAACAGAGATAACTACACAGTATGCCACTCGGGCCCTAGCGGCAGCGGGGAAGGGCAATGGAAGGAGCAGGGGGAGAGGAGCACGAGGTGGAGGGGGCGCAGGGAAGAAAGGAGGATGGAGGACGGAGAATACCGAAGATTCGGTGACGGTGTGCAGAATGGTGAGGAGATCGATGTGGGAGGACAATGAGGCGCAATGGGACGAGGGAGGATGAGGAGGTTGGAAGATAGCAAGGGCTGTGTTTCAGGGATGATGAGCAAGAAGGGTGTGGCAGGAGCAGTGGGGGCAAATGCTGGGCTAGTTGGGGCACGGAAGAGCCCGCCTTGTGCAGGTCGGCCGGCATATAGGGCAGGACAACGAATATGTCCTCGAAGTTCGGGCTGGGAACCGCGGGAATATCCAGAAGGTGGAGGAGGTTTTCGTGCTTCATCCTGGTGGGAAGGGGCGCTGGAGGCAGTGAGAAAGAACGCGGGAGTGGAGCTGCACGCGAAAAGCGGGAAACCGAGGGCGAACCCCACGTGTTCCTCCTCTTGTTCCCGATCCTCCTGCCCCTCCTCTCCTCCTGGCCTCCCTTCTTCCATCGTGTCGCCACTCCCTCCTCTCCCGCTCCTGTCCCCGCTCCTGTCCCCGCTCTTCCCCTTCCTCCATCCTGCCCGCACAACTGCCCACCCACTCCCCCTTCCACCCGCCTCCTCTACCGACTCCTTCTTGACAACCTCCATTTCCTGCTCCCGTGCATCCCAACTCTTCCCTATGCCACCCCTGCTCCCCTCGAAGCCCTTATAATGTTATGTCCTCGCTCCCTTCCCTTCCCTCCCCGCGAGTGTTCGCTTCTCTTCCCACGCCCACCATCTTTTCATTCGACCCCCCGCGTCTTCCTCACTACTTCCCTCAGTCCCCCATCCTTCCCCTCTCCTCGTTAGTCCTTTCCGAAGGCCTGGAGTGCGATTGCACTGGCCAGTCTATGACTCGTCCATTGCCCCCCATCGAGGGCACGAGCGTCCGCCTTGAAAACACTCGGCCGGTGAGCTGAAGAACTAGCCAGCCATGCGGGAAAGGAACCGCACTACACGACATCAGCACGTGAGACTCGGCATGTTGCCGAAGCGGCCACAGACGAGCTGTCAATCCGACTCCCACCGACGGCGAGGATGAACGTCTGCACGGCTCCCCCTCCCCCTCCCCGCCTCCGCTCCTCCCGATCCCTGCGCCCACTCCTCCGCTCCCCCCGAGGCCGAATCCAGCGGTGGCCACTGCTCCCACTGCCCCCGAGGCCGAATCCGAGCCCCCCTGCGCCCACTCCTCCGTTCCCCGCCCCTCCACTCCTCCTTCCGAGAGGGGCCGAATCTGTGAGGCAAGAGGTTGCCAGGCAAGGCCTCCACGAGTCTGCGGGCGAAGTGCCCCTGGCCCCTTCGCGCCCCCCCCCGGCGGCGAGGGAGCGGGGGGGTACAGATGGGGGAGGGGGGAGGGGAAGCGCGCGGGGGGGGGAGGGGGGCACCACCCCTCCTCTCCCCTGCCCACCCGCCCACCTCCCTCGTCCCTCCCCCTCTCCAGCCCTCCCTGCCCGGCCCTCGTCCCTGCCCCCCTCGCTCGTCCCTGCGTGCGCTCCAGCCCGCCCCCCCCTTCACCCCTCGCCCATGGCCCTCCTTCTACCGCCCTCCCCCGCCCTCGTCTCCTCCCACCTCTCCACCAATCCCTTCCCTCCCTCCCCTCCTTCCTTCCCACCCCTCGCCCTCGTTCCCCCCCCCCTGCCCTCGTTCCCCCCCCCCTCCCCTCCCTTCCCCGCTTCCCGTCCCCCGTTCCCTCCTCCGCCCTCGTCCCCCACCACCAAGCCCTCCCCTCCCTTCCCCCCTTAAAACGAAGCCAGAACGAGGACACATTCGGGTCAGGATAAGCCGAGAATCTCTGAGATCCTTCGGCTCTGGGGGATGTCTCGGGCGCCGCGGCCCTCTCAGAGCGTTCCGGAACGTTCTGAGAGCGATCCGGCACGCTTGGCACGGATCCATCCTCACCCTAGCCCCGTCCGACCTCTTCCCTCCCCTCTTGCCCCTCCTCCTCCTCCTCCCCCTCGCCTCCTCCTCCTCCTCCTCCTCCTCCTCCTCCTCCTCCTCCTCCTCCTCCTCCCCCTCGTCCTCCTCCCCCTCCTCCTCCTCCTCCTCCTCCTCCTCCTCCTCCTCCGAACCGGCGTTAGAGGCCCGGAGTTTCCCTCCGGCCGAGCCAAGCGCGCAAGCGCACCGCCGACTCTTCAGGACACCCCCAGAAAATTCTACTGCGAAGGCCAGGGGGGTGGCCGAGCCTGCCGCGTCGCCACGGTATTTACGACGCCCTCCCGCTGATGCGTATTACGACGTACAGCCCATGCGCAACAAGTGGCGATGAGAGACTGGAGGACATCAGTATAGTATCGAAGGACTGGGACATAATAGTTCTGAATGGAACACACGAGTGGGCGGGAGGAGGACCGTGCAGGAGATCCTACCTACCACACCACTGGGCTCTACGAATTCGGGGAAGGAAGGGCAGGTGGATTACTAAAGTTTGTGGCGTTTCTAGACTGGTAACAAGAATAATGCCCCAAGAGTCCCTGCACTGCACACCTTACCCTCAAAACAACATAGAGGGAAGGGCGGCGGGGATCAGGCGACAGGCTCAAATATAGATATTGTTTTTGGCTGTATATATGGCCCCTACACACTTCATCAACTATGGACACAGTGTCCCCGAATTGCAAATTGGATTGAGCAGGAATGTGACAAACTAGGATGCCGCTCGACACCCATAATAGCAGGAGACATGAACACCGATTTCGAATTGCACAGAGACGAGGATGGGATAGTCCAACCGAGCGCAGGAAGGCATGCTGGTTCGGCGGCACCCAAGATAGAAAATGAAAACGGTCGAGCAATTAGATCATTATGTGAACGAGATGGGATGTGCGTTGCTACTACTTTCACGGACATGGGAGCGACGTACTACGGACCGCAAGGGAATGACAAACCGCATCGACCACTTTCTCATTCCCGCCGGTGCCCTACGGCTGGTCGACCGCTGCCGGGGACCCTTGGGCATTCTGCCAGGGGGCTGCAGCTCATCAGGAGCAAGTGGTACAGAGACCACCTGCCTGTTTCTCTCACCCTCCGCTCGCCATCGCTCGGACGTCCATTCCCTGTGTTTTTTCGGTTTCGTGCGTGGTTTTTTTCGCCAAATGATCGAGGGTACTCCTCGATGGTCCTCGCCGAAGGAAGAATGCACACGTCCGAGCGATGCCCTCTCTCTCGCCCAAGGCCCCCCCCCCAATCCGCGCTCGCCGTCGAGCAGGGGACAGGGGCGCCAGTGGAGACGCGCGCCGAGGAGCTGCCTGCGGAGAGGGAGGGGGGAGGCTGGAGCTGGGGAGAGGACTGGGCTAACAAAAATATAAGGCAGCGCGGCAGAGGTCCACTCCCGATCTGGCGTGCATGCTTTACGGAGAGGCCACGAGGGCAGCGACGAGAAGATCGCTCGGAGATCCCCTGCTACTCTCGACGAGGATGGCCAGCTGGTACGTGCTAAGGGAACGGAGCTGCTGGCCAAAAGGAGGGAGCTGCGATTGCAACAGGGATATACGACCACTAAGCAGGACCTGGAGGAGGCACAGGAGGAGCTAACGTTGGTGACGGCCCCCTCAAGAGGAAGAGAGAGGAACCTCTCAAGAAACGAAGGGCCAACATTGCCGAATCTATCTGGGAAGCCTACGCGCAGCCGAACATCGCCGAGATCCATCGACTTAGGATCGCCCACAACATGAACGGCAGAGGCCCCAGAAAGAGGTAACACTACTCCCCAAGAACTCACTGGTCTGCAGAACAATGACTGGAGATCGGAAAGAAACCACACGACGGGGGACTGGGGGGAGTACCGATGAATGTTCCCGCGGCTATAGAGGAGCGAGAAAACAACCTTGAAGGAACAATTACCGTCACCACTCGACAGAGACATCCGACATGCGGCAGAGAAGGACTTGGGCGCAATGAAAAGATAATGCCGAAAGGCAAAGAAGCGTCGAGCCTGGCCTGCCTGGGGGTTGCCGGTTGAATGCGCCTGGATGTTACTAGAGCCCCAAGCGCACCTAGAGAGCCCGACCCAAGCAAGCGAAAGAATAGAGAAGCAAGCCATGGCCGGAGCCGGGAAAAACGAGGAAGAAGAACTGGCCGACCATACGACACGATTCAAATTCACGAAGTGACGGGAAATTCTGCAAAAATGGGATGGGTGACGGATACGAGGCTGTGAAGGACAAGAGAGCAACTGGACGGCACGGGGCTAGAGCCAACAGCAGTGTAGCCTAACTATGTCGGGAGAGCCAGGACGACCTACTGTGCCTGCTGGACTGGCACTGTACGGTGGCGCTCGATGCAGACAAGAACAACGATAAAGCAGGCATCGCAGGCAAGCACATCATGTACGCGTACTGTAGTTTCGGTCTGGAATGGCACTGAGGACTGTCCAAGAGAGGCCAGCCGATCTTCCACCCTGCCTGGGCTCAGGGAGGGATCGCACACAGGAGCAGCGATCATGCCATACTATGCGTGCAGGCTGCAGAGTAGAGGGCAGCGCAGCTAGGATACAGCACAGTGCACTCGAACTACGATTGTACGAATGCATTTGCGAGCACGCACAGGACCCTGTTGCAGGCATTCGCATGGAAGGCGAGTGCGGAGGAGGATCGACCCTTTGCCATTTGCGTTGGCAGCGAGCAGCAATGCTTGCATGACCACGGAGACGGCATCGAAGACCCTGGCTGTGGAGACGACCAGTGGGGCACAGGTGGGATTCACCCCTGTTCCAGGCCAGTTTAACGACTGCTACAATATATACGTGGACCAATGGCACCAAGAGGAAAGAGAGCTAGACACATCACAGACATTGCACGGCACAACTACCCCAGTCACGGGGGAGACGCGCGATGTGGCTATTAACACATTCGTGGACGACATCACAAAAAAAACGCGCCTGTTCCCGCCAGGGAAAGCGGCAGATGAAATTGCTACGCAGATCAACGGTGTGACGACACGGCTGGAGGAACATCTTCAGAATGGAAATGGGCGCCTCAATCCTCAAGAGCAAACAGCTTACTAAACATCAGGGAAGAGGGACCATTTGGAATCACCAGAGCACTGCGCAAGAGTAACGGCATACAAGACACCACCATGCGAGAGATGAGAGTACTATGACCTCACATCCCAAGCGAACAAAGACTTGGAAGAGACATACGACGGAAGGGGGGAGGCGGTCAAACTAGCATGGACACAATGGGGTGCGTTCTGGAGTAGCAAGACACCAAGGCCCGTGGGTACAGCAATCCAGCGACGACCTGGATGCCATTGCAGCGGCGTGTGAAGACATGAGGGCTTGTTACGCAGTTTGCAAGTCAGATATCAGCCTGCTGACTCCTGGGACACAGGAATGCGACCACTGGATAAATATGGACTCAGCCATATTGCGCAGCGCAGCTACAACATGGAATCACCAAGATGGGGAAGACGAAGAGGAGGAACTGCAGAAATTTGTCAACAAGCCGTGCTGAAGTGATCACATGTGCATGGGGGAGGAGGAATACAGACGGGAAACGTACAATGTCAGACCGCTGGTGGCACAACTCGTTGTCACGAACAATTGTCCGTGGTGCCTCAGCACGTTCAGCAATCGTCGCACAGCGATTGACCACGCGACAAGAGCTGCAGATTTGAACGGAGTACGTCACATCGACCACACCAGATGGAGACACGGAGTGCCGCAGCCTGAGTCTCTCGTTGGTGCCATCTGTAACCACCAGGCTGAAAAGAGTTGCTAGCTACATCAAGCTCCTGACTTGACGCCGTGGGCCCTGGGAGGAGGAGGAGGAGGAGGAGGAGGAGGAGGAGGAGGAGGAGGAGGAGGAGGAGGAGGAGGAGGAGGGAGGAGGAGGAGGAGGAGGAGGAGGAGGGGTGCACGAAACGTGGCAAGCGTGCATCGGCGCCAAGCGAGGAGGGCAGGAAGCCGAAGGCAGCTAAGCCAACAAGACGCAGGCGAAGCGCGAGGCGGCAGCAGGAGGAGGCGGAGGGGCAGGCGGCGGGTCGGGCTCGCAGAGCTCATCGGACCCCCCCGGTGGCCTTGCGCCAGCTGTCGCTGAGGACGGCGCAGGAGACGAACGATCTCATGCACCTCGCAACGAGTTTCTGGCTGGTGCCGATCCTGGCCATGGGTAAAAAAAAACACGGTGGGTAAACACACACACACACACAAAACACAGTGTGTGTTTTACCCACAGTGTGTTTTTTACCCACCGTGTGTTTTTTTCCCCGTAGATTTTTACCCACAATGTGTTTTTTTACCCACAGACTGTGTGTATGTGTGTGTATGTTTTACCCACAGACGCTTGCGCAGCCATGATCAAAGCAGGCCGAGACTACGCCCAGCAAGTCAGGGACAGGGGCAACAGAGGGCACGAGCTCGGATCTCCTCACATCCACCTCGCCTGCAGTCTGCTACGTGGTGTTGTGAAGGCACTCGGGGACAAACAGGACCCGACCAAGGAGGACAAGGACGCGATGGCCCTGGTCAGGGAGTCCCTCGAGGTGGTGGAGACGGAGCGGGGGCCCCAATTCATGGCGGAAGCGATCCTGCACTGCAAGGCCGCGGACACGTACACGCGCAACGACACGGACGGCAAAAATAAGCTTGGCAAGGTGAGCTTCGCGGTGACCCCGGTGTCGTGCGTCCGCCTGGCGATGATCGGCACGCAAGCGCCTCCAGAGCACATCGAGAAGATCGACAGCTTTCGTGCGACGAGGCTCAAGGCGGCGATCGACCATGGGCTCTTCTCCTGGGGGCAAGACGGCGGTGAGCTGTGGGCCGAAGGCGGAGCTCGAGAGGACCTGCGAAAGGAACCTGCGAGCGCTCCAGAGGCGCCAGGCAGCACGCAGGGCGGCGTGGCCATCGATTTAGACACATCGTATGCAGCCTCAGATCCAGGAAAGCCCGAGGATCCAGGAGCATCACATGCAACCTGGAAGGGCCCAGGATCACCGCCTGCAGTCCCACCGAGGACGAAAGAAGAAAACACGGCCGAGGACTTGAGCAAGGACCTCGTGAGGCTGACAAAGCTCAGAGAGGTAGCCCCCAAGAGCAGCAAAATGCAGGATTAGAGTCAGCAAACTACTACCGAGCCAGGAGAGCAAACGCACAATCACCCCTGCCAAACTGCATGGGCAAGGGTGGCCTACGGCGATAACAACTCCTGGTGGTGCTGGTTGTAGGTATGCAAGGTACTACCTACTACGACCCGTGACGGACTGATATCTAGAATCGCGATTCTAGGAGTCTGCCAACCACTATACTATACCAAGGTGTCGGCGGCACGTACTAAGGGTTTGGGCTCAGAAGTGTTTTTAGCAGCACACGACTACCGATACCTCAGAAGGAACTGCCGAGGGATGCAGCCTACAAGGATGGAAGGAGGAGGAGAAAAGGATGACTGGCCCAGTGACGATCTCAGTCGGGTTTTTGCCTGCATTGCAGACCCCAACCGCACAGTGCTCATGATGGATGGAGCGATCGCCTTGTTCAAATTTGTGCACGTGGCTCTTTACCAGCAGCAAAGGATCTTGCAGCGGAAGAGACAACCACTCATCGCTCGGTCAGTGAATACGACCCAATTCGTAAGCCTTGCGATGTTTCGCCTCCGCAGCCACGTCATTGACTCCATGTGGGAACAGATCCAGCTCATCCGGTCGAGTATGTTGACTATCGAGAGGTACTATTGATCATATCAACAGGAGACGCGCGAATCAGAGGCACCTGGGAGATCAGTCAAGAAGATCTCGCGCTGGAGGAGGAAGAGGCAGCAGGTCGAGACAGCGAGCAGCGAGGAGGCATACTAAGAGCCTGCGTATGCGTCGGTCCAAGAACCAAGCAGCATAGGAGCCGGGAACAAGCAGCAGCAACACTTACGTGGAACCTGCTACGAGCCATGGGCACAGGTATTGCCCAGTAGTTGTGACGACGACTACCACTACAATTTGTGAAGTGCACTGCACGAACTGGGGAGGACAACTACCGTGTGCAGAATACCGCCAACGGTGAAACGCAACGGACCCCCTAGGACTCCAAAGGCAACCATGTTAGGACCCTGCAGGAATCGAGGCCCCATGAGAACCCAAACGACTCCTGCTACCACGACCACAAACAGCTGCCAAACAAACAATGCGATCCGACTCAAGCTGTCCAGGCTCGAACCAGGACAGCGACAAGCTTCTGATCCCTACACGAGGTGAGAGTGACAACTACAGAAGAGGCATGGCGTCCAGCGGAGTGAAGGGCACCTACTACCGTGGCGAGGCAGCGATGGAGGTGTGGACGATCGACCACGTGCTGAAAAGGTTGGAGGTCAACCTGGGGAGCACGAACCACGTTCTCCAGTCGGTGGTGAAGGGCATCTGGCGCGAGCTGGAAACGATGAATGACCACAGGCGCATGCTGGCGATCTCCATGGTACGTGCCAAACTCGGCAAGACGAACACGGTGGCAGAAGATATCGCCAAGGAGAAGTACTACTACCAGCTGAAGAACAAAGTCAACACGATCGAGACCGCGATTCGGCAGACGACCCGGACGCTCGGCATGCTGAATGAGAAGATCCACGAGGACATCGAGTATTATGCCAACAAGGACTACGCGAAGCCGCAGAGCGACGAGCAGGCCCAATTCGTCAAGGATAACGAGGAGGAGGTACTGATGATCCAGACCTACCAGCCACCGTGGAAGCACAGCAAACCGAATACATGGGTCCACTACAGATGGCAGCAGAAGGAACCGCCGAAATGGATCGAACCTGAAGAGTACCAGCGCCTGTATGGGGGAGGCGGAGCGGGCACAAGCGCAAGCAGCAGCCCATCCACCCACCAGACGAACGCGTTGCTGACGAGGATCAAGGAGCTTGAGCAGAAGCTCGAGGGCAAGGACCCAGCGGCGACGAAGAATAATGACGACTCTACCCCGAAGGCACCCACGAAACCCATTGCCTGATATCGCCAGTTCTCAGCGAAGATGAACAGCTCAGTAGCACGCAGTACGCTCGGTCGCTCCCACTGTGAAGACGTCGGAACAAATCTGCTGCCTGGGCAAACACGGGAAGATACGCTACGGCAGAACAATACACGGGATATGGGGGATACTACTTGGAGGAGTGCTGACTACAAACAATAACAAATACTCTCAGGGATCTGCTCAGACAGGAGCGAAGTGAGCCCATTGAGCAGGCCAGCAGATCCCTAATTCGGCCACGGGGCCCACCAGAGCCAGCCTGTCAGTAGGCGAGTGGTTGGGCGGCGTGGGGGGGGGCGGAGGGGGGGAGGGGGGCAGGGGGGTGAGTGGTTGGGCGGCGTGATGCCTCAGAAGGGGCGGAGGGGGGGGAGGGGAGAGCGGAGAGCGCGCGGCCGCCCGCGCGGCGCGCGCCCGCTCCACAAGTACCGGAACCCCGCGCTGCCGCCCTCTCTCTCCCTCCCCTTTTCCCTCGTGGCTCTGCATACGGCCAGGGGAGCCCGACCCTCACATGATCAGGCGACGGCATCCCCCTCCCCCCTCCCCCCTTAGATCTTCTTGAACTGTTTTACGGGGGTGCCCCCCCGCTCGGCGGCAGCAGGCCGAGGGAGGTGACCCTCCGCCCGCTCCCGCGAGCAGGCCCACAAGGGGGCCCTGCCCATTCGTCCCTTCGCACGGAGGCCCGAAGGGCCCGAAGTGGTGGCTGCTGCTGCTGCCGTGGACAAATATCCCAAGCGCCTTACCTTACCTTACCTTACCTTACCTTACCTTACCTTACCTTACCGTACCGTACCTTACCTTACCTTACCTTACCTTACCTTACCTTACCTCCTCCTCCTCCTCCCCTCCTCCTCCTCCTCCTCCTCCTTCTCCTCCTCCTCCTCCTCCTCCTCCTCCTCCTCCTCCTCCTCCTCCTCCTCCTCCTCCTCCTCCCCTTCCTCTCCTCCTCCTCCTCCTCCTCCTCCTCCTCCTCCTCCTCCTCCTCCTCCTCCTCCTCCTCCTCCTCCTCCTCCTCCTCCCCTCCCTCCCTCCAACGTCATGGCGACCGTCGTCGTGGCGCCCCTTCCCCCCTCTTGGCCCCGATCGTGGCGCCACCCGCCCTGGCGCTGTCCTCGCCAGGAGCCTGATCTCCCGCACCATGCTCTTCCCGTGACCTCGGGCGCGCCCTCCCCCGGACGACGGGGGATGCGAAGCCTGGCGACGAGCGACGCGGGCGCCCGAGGTCGGAGGAGGAAGGCTTGAAGCGTTGCAAGACGAGCAACCTGCGGTGAAACACCCACAACGCTGACATATGCGCATGTTCACTTCGTCACTGACATCCGCCAACGTCGGAGGAGGAAGAGGTGCCCATGACCAGACCTCCGAGGATCTCAGTCGGTCCACCCGGCGGCTTGTCCTCGGTTGCGGCCTCAGGGGCCCGTTGCGGGGGCCCGGGGGCCGTCCGAACTGGATGAAGGAAGGAGAGCCACCCCTGGGAAAAGGGGTCGGGACCTCTGGGGCCACGAATGGAAGCAAGAAGAGGTGCCCTCGGCGGCGAGCGAGGGGGGGAAGCAAGAAGGAGAAGGCCTTCTCAGAAGGCGGCGGGGCTTCTCAGAAGCCATCCGGCCTTCTGAGAAGCCTTCTGCGTCGCGGTGAAACACCCACAACGCTGACACATGCACATGTTCACTTCGTCACTGAAATCCGCCAACCTTCACCTCGAGCCTGGTTTGGTCGATTTGGAGGGAGGGAGGGTCACAAGGGGAGGGGTGGAACGCGCCACGGGGGGACAGAGGGCCCCAAAACAGGCCAAGAGGGCACCAAGAGGCCCTCCGAACGGTCCAAAAGGGCCACGAGCCGCCGAAAATCTATCCAAAACGCCCACGCTGGCCTCCAGACGGCCCATGAGGCCCCCAGACGCCCCAAGAAGCCCTCAAGAGGAGTCCCAAGATGGCCTGAAAGAGCAAACATCGACCCATTCCCGTTGGAAAACATGTATGTGTTGTACACTCGCCTCTTGTGCGTTCGCAACATCCAAGACAGCCCAATACGCCTCCTGGATTGCCAAAAGACGGCCCAAGAGAGGGCCCCCAGACCGCTCAAGAAGCCCCCTAAGACGGCCCAGGGGGGCTCCAGAACAGCCCCAAGAGGGGTTCCAGAGGGGGAGCCCGGACGGACATTTCGAGCCTTCGACCCCACACAGCCGCCCAGTTGCCCCAAGAAGGCCCCAACAGGCCCCCAGGGAGCTCCGAGAGGCCCCCAAAAAGCTCAAGAGGCCCCGAAGGGGCCCCCAAGAGGTTCAAAAACTGTTTCCCAAACGCCCAGAGACGCTTCTCACGAGACCCCGTCTGCCATCCGCGTGGTCTCATACCCGCAGCCCAAGCACGGTAGCAGGATGTGCCGAATGCCATTCGATAATCATCCTTCTGATCTGTAGACATATGCCCGCCGTTCGTACACGTGGGTTCTCGCCCGTTCCCCTACGCGCGCACGGCGAACACTGAAAATGTCAGCCGCGGAAATCACTACTGCCGATCCGGGCTGAGCCGCATTGCCGTGGGCCCTCGGGGAATATCTGGCGAGCACGCGGTTGATTGTCCAAGAAGGCACCAACGCAAAATCCCCCGACCCCGTGGGGTGCCATCAGCGTAAAAGATGCTTACCCCTCCCCCGATCCCTCCCCCCGAACCCCGGTCGATTTGGAGGAGCGGGGTCCGCCCGGATCCCCTGGGCCCGGTCCCAACGCATCATGGGCGGATGGAGGGCCCCACGACGAGCTCAGAGGGCCCCCAAAGGCCCCCAAGACGGTCCAAGAGAGCCTCAAGTCGCCGGAAGATCGGCCAGGACGCCTCCAGTCGCCCGAGATGGCCTCCTGACGGCCCAAGACGCCCCCAAAACGTCACAAGAGGCTTCCAAGAGCCTTCCCAAGAGGGCCCCAAGAGGCAACATTCATTGATTGTCACCCCGTTGCTAACTGATTTTAGCGTTCTCGTATGTTCGGTGTCCCGACGCTCCACGACGGCCCAAGAAGTTCCCAAGATCCCAAACAGGCAAGAAGGGTCCCCACACGGCCCCCCAAACGGCCTCATAGGCCTCCAGCATGGCACAGCTGAGCCCCTGGACCGCGGCAGGGAAAGGCTCCGAAGGGGAATCCGAACCCGCAGTTCACTTTCTGGGCCCCCCAGGGCCAGGAAGAAGCCTCCTCCTCCACCTGAGCCTTGAGCCATGTCCCCACCCTACCCCTCCTCCTCCCCTCCTCCTCATCCTACGCTCCCACCCCGCCTCCTCATCCTACCCCTCCTCCTCATCCTACCCTTCTCCTCATCCTACCCCTCCTCCTCCCCTCCTCCTCCCTGCTCCTACCCCTCCTCCTCCCCTCCTCCTCATCCTCCGTTTTCCGCCGTCGGCCCCTCGCCACCCCAGGTCAGCGGAGCTCCAACAGGCCCCCCACACGCCCCCATGGAGCGCCCAGGAGGGCATCAACGCCAGAGAGGCCCCCAGGAAAAAACACGCCACAAGCGCCAGTTCACCGAGGCGTCGGCGGTGTGGCGTAGACCCAATAATCGATCTCAACACCGCGATCGTCCAGATCGCGCAGAGCTTGTGGCATAGAGGATGACGCTAGGGAAAAGGAGGGGCCGTAGGAACACGAGCAGGGGGGGAAAAGGGGGCCTGCATGGGGGGAGTGGGGAAGAGGGTGAAGGGAAACGAAGATGAGGAGAGGAGGAGGAGCCGCCGGTTGTACAAAGCCCTGCCGTGCGCGGCCCATGAGGTCGCCCATCTCTTGACGTAGTCGCCGTAGCTCTGTCTCATAGGGGTTGGGAAAGCATGAGGTCTCTTCCCAGCTCGACCACTGTGGTCAACGTCCTGCCACGCGCCGTCCGAAGAGGCACTCAATGCAGCTGCTGGTGCGGGCCGCGTAGATGCTGATGCTGAAGTCGGTCGTCCGCCGTTCCAGGGATCGGCGCTCTGCATGGTGTCACCGCTGTCGGGCCCCCGAAACACAGGTAGGGGAATCGTTTAGGTCTCCTGGTCATCCAAACCGTGAACGCGCCTGGCACTGGCTACTGAATGGCTGGTACAGGCGCTCCCTGATGGCCAAGGTGCGTAAGTGGTGGGGATACTGATGACGATGGTGGTGCTGCTGTGGCTGGGGCGCTGAAGAAGAGGGCGCGCCCTTGCCGTCGGCGCTGGGGGCAATCGCGCACGAGGTGCTCCTCAGAGTCGCACTCGTGGCACTTCAGACTGACCACGTCCGGACAAAATGGGTTGCCTTGGCGCCCAACTCCCATCCCAGTGGTTCTGTGCTCACCTTTCCCCTTGCCCCTGCACTTCCCGAGGCCCGCGAAGGTCCCCGGGAGGTCGTTCTCGGACACGTCGGGCAGGTAGGCTCTGTAGCCCTTGCCCTGGCCCCTGCCCTTTCCCTCGCTGGCCCTCCGAACGCGGTGCGTGGGCTTGTTCTTGTTTTCGTTGTTGAAGCGGCGCCGTCGGGACTTGGCGCGCTCGCAAGCCCAGAAAAGGCGCCCGCCGCGTTGTCCCACAGCGTCGCGAAGCTCGGCGTCGTCGGCAGCAATCTCTTCGCCGAACGAGCTGGCGGCGTCGGGGACGGGGCCTGAGTCGACAGCTGCTGCTGGGCACGCCACCTGTGCTGGCGTTGCCGGGGTCGGCAGCGACAGCGGCTGCTGGCAGGCTCGGTGCCGCTCCGAGGCCAGTAGTCCCCATGCCATCCTAGTTTCTTGCGTGGGCGTGCCCGCGAGGAGCGTCAATTGTTGGGAAGAGTGCACGGCCGAGGCAAGATGGCCTGCCGAGCCCTCACTCATGTGCCCAAGCCTGTGCAGCTGGCCCGTCATGTGCGTCAGCTGCTGTGCGCTCGTAGGGTAGGCCATGCTGTAGTGCTGCAGGATCATGGTGAGTTGGATGTTCGAGATACCTACCGCGCGCAGCAAGGGGTAGCTGATGACCTCAAAGCCGATCATGAGTTGGCCGGCTTGCTGCGCCCTGTTGCGGAGGATGTCGAGCCTGGTGAGGAGGTTGTCGATGCGCTCTCGCGGCAGTCGGTTGAAGTTCATCAGAGCCGATGCCGCCTGGATGCGCTCCTCCTTCCCAAGGGTGGCCCCGCCATTCGGCCATGCTGTGCATATGGAAGGTCATAAGCGGCATTGGGGTGCCGATGACATGATGACCTCCTCGGCGGGCGGCCATTCGTTCATGCGCTCGCGCGCCGTGCCGCCGAGGCGCGACGAGACGCATGTCGCCTAGGGGAACTCGTTGAGGTCGGAGCGCCCCACTGGCCACATCATGAGCTCCCGCACCCAGCGCTGGAACGGCACACTAACTCGCTGCTCGGGCCCCCAAGTGCCGAGGTGTCGCGCATTGCCGCCAGCACCGACGCTGGCGTCCATACCGGCGATGCATCTGGCGCCTGCGATCATACCCAGTTCGATGGCCTTTCATCCATAGTTGAGCCCCGCGAGATCTGTAATCCACCAACGACGGCGCTCAGGCAGAGAACCTCGAGGCCGTCGTTGGTGTCGGTCCCGAGTGCGCTCTTCCTCGTCCGCGTCTTGGGTCTTTTCTTCTGTCGTATTGATGGTGCGCGAAAAGCACTCGGAGCAGCCTACAACATAGTTGCGGGAGCACTCGTCGTGCGTCGCGATGTCAGTGCTGGGCACCACCAGCCGTGCGATAATCAAGAGATAGCGATCCAGATCTGTCAGGTAGCAGGGAGTGCGTGAGGAACGTGGAAGGCAATGTCCCAGGGGATCGAGAACGGATGATCCCAGATGCGAGGCGCAGTCCCCCGGAGGGCCGACAACGTAGTCGACGGACCCCCCATTACCTTCTCACTCTTGCCTGTTTGTGCCACCCCTGGCTGCTGCCATTGACACATAGTCGCAGATTGCTCGGAACTCTTCGTCAACACCGTTGTTGCGAACGTCAAATCAGTTTATGGTCTGACACCTGCGGCTATACCTACAGGCGGATGTACTGGAGGCGTTGTGTCCGCAGTCTCTTTCCCCTTGGTCTCCTGCAACATAGTCGTAGACGTGAACATGATATCAATCCGTGGTTTCACATCGGCGTCCACACCGACAGGCGCGTGCGGTGACGGGGTTGGCTCCGCGAGCTGTCCGAACATAGTTCGAGCCGGCCCCGAAGGAAACGAAGGAAGGGTGGGCTCGCGGTCCTGGATGTGGAAACTGGCGTCCCTGTGGTCGTACATGTGCTCGTTCCCCAATATCAGACCTGGCGGCGGGGCGGCATCACTGCCGCTGGCCGAGGTGAACGGGTAGTAGAGCACGAACACGACAAAGACTGTCCATCGCGAGGTCTGCGCACCTGGAAGAATAGCACGGTGATCTTGAAGTTGAAGTCCTTGACGTGGTTGTCTCATGTGGCAGGGTGGTGGGGCCCTCGCCATCGAAGAAGGACAGCGAATGGAAGCCATCGCGGCCGTGGCAGGGAGCAGAAGCCTGCTACGCTACCAACTAAGAGAAAAGGGTGAAGGGTGTAGGGGCGCACTTTTCGGCACGCGGCAGTAACACGGCTTCTTTACAACACGAGAGTAGCACGGGCATGGAAGCTGGCCAGCTTCCGTACCCCAGGGCCTAATCGCAGCGGAAACAGGCGACGATAACGAAAGGCAAGAGAGGCAGTATACAACGGCCCCGTTCGAGTAGGAGGAGGGGGGATGAGGAGGAGGAGGAGGAGGAGGAAGAGGAACAGGAGGAGGAGGAGGAGGAGGAGGAGGAGGAGCGAGGAGCGAGGGAGGCAGGGCGGAGGAACGAGCGACCCGCCGACGAGTCTTGCACTGCCGGGTCTTGCTGAGTCCGTGGCGTGAGGCCTGCTTCACGTGCTTTACTGCCACCTGCGCGCCAGTGATCTTGTCCTCGCAGAGGTGCACCTGGGCCGCGACCCCGCCTCTGCCGAGAAAGAGGAGGTGGACGACAAGACGAGCAAGATGGAGGAAGGGGGGAAAAGGAGGAGGAGGAGGAGGAGGAGGAGGAGGAGGAGGAGGAAGAGGAGGAGGAAGAGGAGTAGGAGGATCTATAAATTTATATATATATATATATATATATATATATGTTAATGTACATACAGCTGTGTGTATATTAATACATATAGCCTTCCAAGACCTCAGGATTGCTCCGAGATGGCCCAAGAGGGCTCCAAAAGAGGCCCAAGCGAGCCTCGAGACGGCCCCAAGAGCGCTCCAAGAGCACCCCAAGAGCGGCCTGAGAGACAATTGCGCATCGGCGCGCAGTGGGAAGGGATGGGCCCACGACGGCACCGTGTCAGGGGAGAGGGGAGCAGCATTCATCGCTTGTCACTCTTGACGGGGGGGGGGGGGAGCGCACGCGCACGCGACGCCCGTGGCGGCCAGCTGCGGAAGGGAGGGGGCGGCCGTGCCGTAGCTGCCCTTGCCCAGTTGGCGGATTACCTCGCGCGGGGGGGGGAGGGGGCGGGGGGGGCGAGTTGGCGGGAGAGGGGGGCGGGGGAGAGAGGATGGGGAGGAGGAGGAGGAGGAGGAGGAGGAGGAGGAGGAGGCGGAGGCGGAGGAGGAGGAGGAGGAGGAGGAAGAGGAGGCCAGAGGAGGAGGAGGAGGAGGAGGAGGAGGAGGAGGAGGAGGAGGAGGAGGAGGAGGAGGAGGGGGAGGAGGAGGAGGAGGAGGAGGGGGAGGGGTGCGGCGTGGCGGATTTTACATCCGTGCTTGACTTTTGCATTCGTCCTGTGCTGGGTGCGTCTTCATTCAAGCTACCTCCAGGTATTTGCCGATATGGATTACAACGTGCTTGCATTGCAGTCACAGTAACACTGTTCTGCAATACGAACCAGCAGTCCCGTCGGAACTTCTCAGGTGTTTCGTTTTGCTTGATTGTTTTCGCATCACGCGGGACCAGTACCTCGGCCTCCACGAGTTGCCCCAATACGGTATTGAAGGATATGGGTTAGCTTTCGTTCGCGTTGTTCGCGGGCGTCCGCGGGATTCGCTTTCCCCGGTCTACTTCGCGTGGTCGTGTGGGTTCTGCTGGTGACGAGTCTCCTTCGTGTCCTCAACGTGGCTGGCTTGGCGGATTGCCTGTATACCAGTGTCGTGTAAAACATGTTTGGGCTTCTTCGCGCACTGGTGCATGAACGTGAACTTCCAGGGGCGCCGTGGGGAGGTGTGGTCTGCTTGAGCTATCCTCTGCTTGATGCACTGAAGGAGGAGGGGGAGGAGGAGGAGGAGGAGGAGGAGGAGGAGGGATGAGGAAGATGAGGAGGGGGAGGAAATGAGAAGGATGCGGAGGACAATCAGGGGAGTGATGTTTCAGAGGAGGGAACACAATAAGATGAATACGGGGTAAGGGAGAGGGGGAGGGGAGGGGGATGAGAGGGAGAGGAAGACTAGCTCCTCCTCTTCCTGCTGGTGGCCCTCCTTTTCCTCCTCCAGGTCCTCCAGGCAGATAGGGATGAGGAGGACAGGGAGGAGAAGGAAGATGAGGGATGATGGGGATGAGGCGGAGGCAGGGGTGGGAGGAGGAGCGGGAGAAGGAGGAGGAGGAGGAGGAGGAGGAGGATGAGGAGGATGAAAAGGAGGAGCAAGGGGAGGAGAAGAGCAGCGGAAAGAGGGGGGGGCGGGCGATCGGACCGGGAGCTCCTTGCTCCCCGCGACCGGGGCTCCGAAACACTGCGAGCCCGCTTCGAAAGAGGCGCCCGTGCTTCCTGCGCCGGCTTCGGCCTTCGCCGTCAGCCGCCGCTGCTGCGGCTTGGACGCCCGCATCTTGCATGTGATGGTGGTGTTGTGGAAGGCTGGACGCTGGTCCACCCTGGGCTGCTTCACAGTCTGGATTTCACCGCAGCGTGCATGATGCTGGCGTGGGTGTTGATGTCGTGTGTCTCTCTTGCCGTCGCTGTCGCGAAGAGCTTTCCCCCTACTTCTTCCCCTCCTCCTCCACCTCCTCCTCCTCCTCCTCCTCCTCCTCCTCCTCCCTCCTCCTCCTCCTCCTCCTCCTCCTCCTCCTCCCCCTGCTCCTACTCACCCTGCTCCTGCTCTTGCCCTATTCTCGCGCTGCGCCTTATCCAGCTCATCCGCTGTACCCTCTGCTGCTGTCCGCGCCTCAGCCCCTCCGCAGAACAAGTGTGCACCACACGGCGGGGAAAGGGATGTGATGTGGGGTGTGGGGCGAGGGGGAGGGAGGAGCGACGGTCTGCCTGGTTGCCAGGCAATACTTTCACTTCGTGTTGCGCTAAGTCAGCTGTGAAGCCACAGCACGCCCTCACGATCCGTCTCCTGGCCATCGCTCGGACGTCCATTCCCTGTGCTTTGTTCGGTGTCGATCGTAGTTTTTTCCCGCCAAATGATCAAGGATGCTCCTCGAGAATCCTCGCCGGCGAAAAAATGCACACGTCCGAACGATGCCAAGTCCCTTCACGCTTCATCAGCTCCTCGTGCACGGGTGCGTCCGAGGTCAGTCTGGCAGCAGGCTTGGTACGGGGCCTGCACCCCTGGACGCTCACCGTCAACCTTCTGCGCCTGGATCCATTCTGCTTTGCACTGCCTGCCGTTCCCCACGGCACTTTGACATCCAACGCGCAGCCTGCGTGTGCACCTCGCTCAACTTATTGGAGTATGTGGATTGTGCGTGAGGGGTCAACATGTTCAAACACATGCGTCCTCGGCACGGCTGTTAGTACGCGCCACCTTGCGCAGGATAGCTCGCTTGGTCTACAAATTGATGGTGTATTGCCACCTTGGGCGCGCCCGCTTGTGACAGCTCCCTCTTTGACAGGTCCATCGTCGAATGGCTGCTGCGCAATCATGTGCGTGTTATCCAGTGGACTACCATTGTGATGTACGCGACGCTATAACACCTATTCCTCTTGAGCGAGCAAAGCAAGACAATGCCACGACTGGTGCCCTGTGACAGAAGTCGTGTAGCATCGTCCGCACACGGGGTTCGGGTATCCGCGTCCGTGCGTTTGCGCGTCCGCGCTTGCGCCTTCGCCAAGTGCGACCCTCGCGTTCGCCAAGTCACGTGACCGTGGCGCGCGATTGCAACACTTGCAGCAACGGCAGCGGCGGCGGCCTGCACCCCTCCTAACTGCGGCCAGACATTGTTGGATAACGTGTCGCTGCGGCGGCCCCCGCGACGCGCCATGCCCTGCGAGCGGATAGCGTGTCGCTCCGCCTGGCGGGGTGGGAGGCTGGAAAAGGCTCGGGACGTCGACGCTTCGGAACGGGAAAGTGGACAGCGTGTCGCGGCGAAGCGTGGTGGGCCAGAACTTGCGGAGCGACACGCTACCCGAAAGTTCCCGACCGTACCCTCGCTACCCTTGCTCACTCGTCCCTCCCTTTCTCTTCGCCTCCTGGCTCGCCCACCAAGTACAGCCCCAAAACAACAACACAGATTCCAAAGACGGCACCAGGAGGGCCCAAAGACAGCCCAAAAGCCCCCCCTAAGAGAGCTCCAGAGGAGAGCTCCTGAGTGGGGGAATTTCCGATACGACCCCCGATTCAGCCAAGGCCACCAAAATCGGCGGGGAGCCTGGGTGAGAAATGAGAAGGGGCGGGCCTTCTCAAAAGGCTCGGAAGTCCCCTGGCCTTCTGAGGAGTGCGGTCTAAGCTCTCCCCGAAGGCACAGACAAGCTCTCCGAAGGCGCGAGAGCCTCTGAGAAGCCTCGCCGCCTTCTGAGAAGACCTTCTCCTCCTCACTTGCCCCCCTCGCTCGCCGCCGACAGTAAACCGCCAGAAACTTCTAATGCCCCCCCAGAGACGCATCCTGGAGGCCGCGGGAGGGCCCTAAAAATGCCACCAGAAGACGCCCCGGAGGGAGGCCTTCCAAGACACCCCAAGAAGCCTCCCAAAGAGGTGTGCTGTCCACGACCCAGTTTGGCCCCAAGGGTGCCCCAAGAACCCATCGAGGAGCCCCCTCCTCCTCCTCCTCCTCCTCCTCCTCCTCCTCCTCCTCCTCCTCCTCCTCCTCCTCCTCCTCCTTCTCGCTGGTCACGATCACACCAACAGGTAGCAACAGTGCTGCAGCACGGTGTCACTCCAGAGGCCCTCCTGGGATGTCTTGGGAACAATTTGGAGCCATCTTGGGGCCATCTTGGGTCAACTTAGGCAATTGTTTGGGCTGGGCCGTCTCGGAACCTTTTGAAGCCCTCTCCGACGCATGTGGAACCGAAAAAACAAGAAAGAAAGGGGAAGCCTTCAAGAACCCACGGGAATGTGTCAGCTTGGGCAATCTCGGATTCATATTTCCGCCTCTGCGAAGTATCTTACAGCCTCTCGCGATACTCGTGGGGTCTTTCCAGCCACCTTGGGATATCTCGGGGGCCTCTTGGGCCGTCCTCGCGGATTCCTCAAGCCATCTTGGGCCGTCTGGCCAAACTCTTGGAGCCTTCTTGAGCCGTCTTGGACGTTCTCACGGGCCCCTGGAGGGGGGCCCTGGAGGTACTCCGAAAGGGCCGCAAACTGGTATGTGTAACTCTTTTTTTCGCCCTATCTTTCTCCTTAGGTTTCGTCCGCCGTTTTCGACACCTTTCGGTGAACATGCGGGCTGTTTTCGGGGCCTCTGGACGCCCTCCTAAGGCCCTCCTGGCTGGTGCTTGGAGGTTGTCGGGCCCTGGAAGGCCGTATGAGACCCCTCTCTTCGCTGCCCTCTACGAGTGCAGGCCGGCCAAGATCGTCGCATTGTCTTGCCAATCTGTGAGCCTAAAATATAGAAGTCGATCGTGCTCTTACTGACACTCTTTTCTTCTTATCATTATTAATATTGTTTCTTCTTCTTCTTCCACCATGCCTCCCAAAGTCTGGTCGAGGTCATGACACCCTGCCGCTTGTGCATCAACGCCACCACGTTCGGCAACAGTTGGGCGGCGGCGGCTGCCGCCCCGAGGGGCGTTCAGCCGAAGAAATACTGCGAGCGCAGGGGCCAAGCACACTACGGTAGCTTCGTGCGGCGTCGGCGCGCGCAAAGGTCGTTGACACCGTGCCGATCGTTCAACCTTGAACCGGTCGCGGCCCCGATCGTTCAAGGTTGAATTCCGTCGGGTCCCGTGTCGTTACCGTGCCCCTCAATGCTTCCGCGCCGTTCTATCGTTCGGAGATAAACCTTGGCCGCCTTCGCCGGCGTCGCTGGCGCGCCATCGCCGCATGAACCTACCGTACCTCCGAAGACTTGCCATCGCTCGGATGTCCAAACCCTGTGCGTGCAGAAGCTTCGTGCGCCTCTCGCTCGCAAGATGGCCCGAGATGCTTCTCGATTGTTCCAGCACGCGTCCGAACGAGGCCAAGAAGATATCCCCCTCCCCCAGGGGGCGGGACTCTGAGGGCGCCTCTGCCTGTAACGGCTCCCCCCCCCCGGGGCCCCGCCCACTCCGGCCGCCTGAGGCCCCGCCCGCTTTTGCCCTGTCTCCCCAATTAGTGCTGTGCGCGGCCCGCTTAGCATCTATCGGAAGAGGTTCGCTCTCGCCCCGCAGATCAAAAACTGTAACTGCTCCCCCACCCCCAGACATGAAGCAGGAAGTCGGATAAGGCAGATTGGGTTCGGTCCCGCCCAGAGGACAGCAGAAGACAGCAACACACATGGCGATCCTTGCAGTCGCTTGAGGTAGATCGGGATCTAGGGAATCAGGAATACCCACTTTCGGAGGCGAGCCCGGGGGGGAAAATGAGAAGGAGAAGGCCTTCGCAGAAGCCTCGGAAGTCCCCCAGCCTCCCGGGAAGTGGTCTAAGCCTTCCCCGATTTTAAACAAGTGATGATAATATTTCAGAAGATTCGAGGGCTTCTGAGAAACACCGCCACCTTCTGAGAATGCCTTCTCCTTCGCATTTCCCCCCCCCCACTCGCTCGCCGCAGACATTTGACCTCAGCCCGTGTCCCTCCAAGCGCTCGTGGCTCGAGCCAGGGGCTCGAGCCAACATGCGAGCGGATGGGCAAACAGGACGGCGCAGGCATGAGCTTCCGGCAGTCCGCGCGGATTTCCTCGACTCGGCGCTGGGCCCCCTCCTTGGGGCGCGGAGCGCCGTCAGGGGGGCCCAGCGCCGATCCAGGGAATCCACGCGGAGCCCGCAGACGTCTGCCCGTGCCGCTGCTTCTGCTTCGAGCGCTGATGATGGAGGCAGACCGCTGCGAGCCCGCCCGACCCGCCCGCCGCGCCCCGCCCGTCAGGGTGCGCCCGCCCTCGGGGGGCGTTGTCGCGATCGTTGCCCTCAACGCGGTCGCCGTTGTCGAAACCGCTGTCGTCGTCGTCCTCGTCGTCGGCGTCGTCGTCCTCGCCAACCTCGACGACGTCGTTCTCATGGTCGTCGTCAATGTCGACGTCGTCGCCGCCCTCCCAAACCTCGACGGCGTCGCCCTCGTAGTCGTCGTCGAGGTCTTCGACGTCGTCGCCGTCGTCGTTCTCGTCGTCATCGTCGTCGTAGCCGTCGTCGTCCTCGTCGTCGTTGTCGTCGCCGCCTCCGTCGCCGCCATCGTCATCGTCGTGGTCGTCGTCGTTGACTTCCTCGCTTTCGACGTCGTCGTCGCCGTCGTCGTCGCCGTCGCCGTCGCAGTCGTCGCCGTCGTCGCTGACGTCGTCGCTGTCGACGTCGTCGTCGTTCTCGTCGTCGTCGTCGGGGGCGGCGGCTCCTTGAGGTGGCCCGGGAACTCCGTGCCCTCGACGGGGCGGGACGTGGGCGGCAGCGAGCACGAGGGCTCGCCCGCCGGGGCACCGGCGGCGCCTCCCGCGCCCTTTCTCCGCGCGTGTGCCCTCCGGCCCCTGACGACTCCTCCCTCCTCCCCCCCCTCCTCCCTCCTCCCCCCCCCTCCCTCCTCCCTCCTCCTCCACCTCCTCCACCTCCTCCTCCTCCTCCTCCTCCTCCTCTTCCTCTTCTTCTTCATCTTTTTCCTCCTCTTCCTCCTCCTCCTCCTCCTGTTCCTCCTCCTCCTCCTCCTCCTCCTCCGCCCCCCCCCTCCCTCCTCCCTCCTCCCTCCTCCTCCTCCTCCTCCTCCTCATCCTCCTCCTCCTCCTCCTCCTCCTCCTCCCTCCTCCTCCTCCCTCCTCCTCCTCTTCTTCTGCGAGATCCGAACGAATGCGAGAGCTAATGTGCGCGGCGCAGAGGAGAGGGACCCATTTCGAAAACTAGACGCACCTATCCGTGCAGCCGCTGGAGAGGTTCAAGGCTTGTCTGCGCGGCGCAGGGAGAGCGCCGACGCGAAGACCACCCGCCCTCCGTCCGTGCAACTTAACTGTTGTGGGCTTGCAACGAGATGTTCGATCCGAGTGGTCAGCCTTTCAAGGTCCTGGGAACCGCATCCTACCCCGAACGAGTGCATCGGCATGGCGCCCTGGTATTTGACCAAATCAAAATGTACACAGGATCTAGAATGGCAGATTCCTCGGGCCGGATCTCTTGTCGGGGCTCGATGTCGGAACATCCAAGACGGATGCGCTTGGCGCCAACCAGAGATTCCAGCTTGGAAGAGGATTCCCCCCTCCCACCGGTGAACCCGCTGGAATAGTTTAGGACCCGTGTGCACGGCACCCGACAACAACTGAATGGTTTACAGTCGAGGCGTTGACCTAAGGAACCCGAAATAAGGAACGAGGCCCCTTTTTCCCATCAGTGAAGGTTCGATTTCCCATCGAAAACCTGAGGAAAACCTAGGGCAAGCTGTGAAACAATCAAGGAACACGGAGCCCCTCCCCAACGAAAAGGGTTCCTTCTTCAGGGCCCCGACTGTAAGACTAACGTGCGCGGAGCCCGAGAACAACTCTGAAACAGTTCAGCCTCCACCGTGTGCCTCTCAGAACCTCTGGATCTGCCAGGGCGTACACGGTGAGGGCGTCTCGAGCGACACGCCGGGCCCACCCCAGCACGCATGGTGATGCGTCGTGGGAGAGAGGTTCGCTAAGGAGAAGGATGGAGGAAGAGAAGGATGAGAGCGAGAATGACTGATTATGCTATGTGCGAGGGGGGAGAAAGGGGAAGGGGCGCACGGGGTGGAAGAGGACGAGGAAAATGATAATGACGATGATGAGGGAGGAAAGATGGATAGTGATGGTGACGAAGAAGAAGGACATCAATGATGAAGACGACGGCGATGACGACGGCAACGACGACAACACGGAGCGACAACAACAACGAAAGAGTAAAACGCGACTGGCCGAATGGCTGAATACGTTAGTGTGAGCAAGTCTCAGGCGGGAGCCGTTGTTGTTCTTCTTCGGGGGCCAGGGGCCCAATATGAGCCGCAAGACTCTCCATAGTAAAAACCAGGGTGCGAGCCCTGGGAGGAACACTTCAATTGAAAAGCACGAGGGGCTCGGAGGGGATCCACAATAGTTCTCATCTGCGAACGAAAATCCAACAGCAGTCCGCATTGCGGGGCCCCACTTCGGCCGCACAGCAAGGAGCAGTAAATTACTCTTCGGCCTTTTCCTGTATTCCTGCCATCTGGGGCTCTGCGAAGTCCCCCCCCCCACCCT